ACCAGGGCCCCAGGAGCCGGGCTTCATAGGGTCTGGGAGAAGCAGTGAAGACCTCTTTTTTCTAGACTCTTGAGTGCCCAGGGCTTCTTCCACTCTGCTTCCCAGGACTCCTCCCACGTGGCCTACTGGTCTCCCTCCACCTGGGGCACATCCTCACCCGAAGGGAACAACATAGTACTTCTTTCCCCAGTTTCACTTAAATTTGTTTGGGGAGGGGAAGAGGCATTACTGAGCATCTGGGGAGTCCAGAGCTGTGCGGTCCCAGAGATATTCCCAGGCCACCTGGCCAGTGAGAATGGGGCAGTCAGGTTTGGCTCCGGAGAGGAAGTGAGTCCTGCAAAGTGAGGGGCAAAGGGGCAAAGACATTCTGAGTGGGGAGAATGGTGTGAGCAAAGATTCCGAGGTAGACAAGAGGGCCAGCCAAGGAGGAGAGGAGGCTCAGAACACAGGTTGAGGACAGACCCTTTGCATCATGAAAGGTTGTGTAGCATGGTGGTTAACAGTGAAGGTTTTGGAGCCAGACTACCTGAGTATAAAACTGCTATTAACTTCGTGACCCTGGGCAAGTTACTTAACCTCACAATGCATCCATTTCCTTTTGGGTAAATAGGATAATATGATGTATTAGTATGTTAGGGTAATTGTGAGGATTAGGTAAGTTAATACATGTAAAGAGCACAGAACAATCCCTGGCAGATCTTAAGCAGTCATCCATGAGTACTAAGTCGTTTCAGTTATGTCCGACTCTGTGCAACTCTGTAAGACCCTATGGACTGCAGCCCACCAGAATTCTCTGTTCAGGGGATTCTCCAGGCAAGAATACTGGAATGGGTGCCATGCCCTCCTCCAGGGGATCTTCCAGACCCAGGGATCGAACCCACCTCTGTGTCTAGTGCCACGAGGGCCACTAGTGCCACCTGGGAAGCCCTGTAAGCAGTCAGTAAATGCTAAATATTATTATCTTCATCAGAGATATTCAAACAAGACTCACGACAGGATGACAGTCACATTTCATGGGTGCAACTAACAAGTGAACCCTGGTTTAGAGCTCCCAGGATGTAATGGGGTTCTGTGGCCTATATTCAGAATTTGAAAAGTCTTGGGGAAATCGTGTTCTGGCCCTGGAGAAGGTTGGCTGTTTGGGCTGCAGCTTCCCCAACTCAGGGACTATAAGGAGAAATATTAGGAGAAGGTTCTGGGTAGGAAAGGAATGCCAATGAAGCCTAAGGGGTGGAGAAGGGTGAAAGAAAGAAGTGGCAAGCTTGGAAGGCTGGGGAAAGTTTGGGCAGCCCAAGAACAGGAGAAAGGGGGACATTCTATTAGGAAACAAGCCAGAGCAAAAGCTCAGGGCAGGAAGACTTTTATTTGAGCACAGTGAGGTGTTTCTCATGAATAACTTCTTGGACCTTGGTTAGAAGCTAGGCATCAGCCACATCCCTGAGAGCTTCTTCCCTAGAAGCTTTCATGCAGCATCTATGGACCTTGGTCCTCACAAAGGTTGGCAGACAACTGCTAGCAGCCAGGAGTGGTATAACCTGGGGTGGATGTTGGTCTCCACAGGGGGCTGACTTCTTAGGGGAGCAACATGATGGGATCTGGTATGCCTGGTCTGAGCAGTTACACGCCTCACCAGGGCCCATACTAGGGTTTGGAGCAAGAGGCTGGCCTCCCCTGGTAAGATAGGGCTTCTCAGTTCTGCTGTCCCAAGTGACCCTGTACTGTCACAGCAACTGTGTTGCCAGTCAGGGGACCAGGGAACTGCGATTGTAGATGGCAGCCCTGTCTCATCCCAATTGGAGGTCTTGACATCCCCCCATTCCCAAAGTAGCCCCTCGAATATACACTCAATTAGAAAGTCCTGGTTTATCTCTTGACTACCACAGTCAAGCCAGGTGACTCTGGGAAAGTCATTAAACCCACTGAGCTTCAATCTCTTCATTCGTGAAGTGGGAAGTAACTTTATTGAGTGTACATTGATCAATAAACCAGGTGTGTAGTCCCTGTGCTCATGAAGCAAGTGGAAGAATCACTAAACATTGCCCCAGTAATTTTTTTAATTATAGCTATAAAAGGTGTTGTTAAGTAAGGAAAAATGTAGTCTGCAGTAAGGGTGTAAGATAGAGGAGACCAAACCAGTTCTAGAGGGTCAGGGACCCTTGAAGGAAACTGTAAAATGAAACCTGAAAGGTGAGAGGAGTTAGCAAGTAAAGGGGTAGAGGCAGCAGGTTACCCAGGCAGAGGAAACAGTTCATGCAGAGACCCTTGCCATGAAAAAGCTGGAGTGCTGACAAGCTGAAAGCAAGCCAGGGTGGAGGGGAGTGATCTGGGTTGTGAGGGGGGGAGTGGTACATGAAGAGGCTGGAGAGACAGAGGCACAGAGTAAGGCCCTGAATTGAGGTCCACAAAAAGAATCTGGACTAATCTGGAAACAGGAAATCATGGCTAAATGTTATGCAGGAAGAACATGATTTTTTGGTAAAGATTGTACAGCCATGATCTTTGTGGAGAATAAGTTGTTGGCAGAACAATGGTGAAGAGGAGAAGGATTGGGATACTTGCAGTTAAGGCAAGAGATGGAGCTGAGTGGGAGGAGAGATGGAGAAAAGTAGATGTGTTGAGAGATAATGGTCAGGCAGGGCTTGGTGACTGATTGGATGTGGGAAGGCAGAGGGTAGGATGGTATCAGGGATCCTGACAGTATCTGGTCTCAGACTAGTGGCAGGAACAGCTGGGTACATGGACATGTGTACGCTGGGGACAGCCTTGGAGGAGTAGATGACTTGGGAGAATGTCAGTTTGGAACACATTAAGTCATCCCCATGGAGGTGTCAGAGACATAGATGTACAAGTGTGTAGCTCAGAGGAGGAGGCTGGACTAGAGGATTAGACATTTGGGAATTGGTGACATGGAGTTGGAACAAGAAGATGTGGGCCCAGATGAGATCTTCCAGAGACAGAGGGTGCAGACTGAAGAGAGAGGAGAAGCAGCTTTGAGCCTGAGCTTTGCTGCCATTTAGAGGGAAAAGGAGGAGACGGGGGCAGAGATGGCCGCGGAAGAAATGGCCAGGGAGGTGGAAGAGAAACAGGAGGACGTGATGCCTCCTAGGCCAATACTGATGCTGCTTGAAAGGGCAAATATTAGGTGACAGTATAAGAAATGGCCTTTCTCTTTCTTTCTCTCTTTCTTGATAAAAAATGGATAATATTGGCAAATTCATATGGTACAACCTAATTAGACCAATTAGGGCTTCCCAGTAGCTCAGTGGTAAAGAATCTGCCTGTAACACAGGAGATGTGGGTTCAGTTCCTGGGTTGGAAGATCCCCTGAAGAAGGAGATGGCAGCCCACTCCAGTATTCTTGCCTGGGAAATCCCCTGGACAGAGGAGCCTGGAGGGCTACATACAGTCCATGGGGTTGCGTAAGAGTTGAATACAGCTTAGCAACTAAACAACAAAAACAATTAGACCAAAACCTGAAAACAGTAACTCCTGACCTTAGCCTGAGAAGATTTGGTAGAGATGTTGGAGCAGAAGCCAGACTGAAGTTGGGGGAAAGTGGCTAGAATGGAGAATAATAAGGCAGTAGCCTTGACTGGGACCTGGTGACCGATTGATTGCAGCAGGTGGTGTTGAGAGAGGGTGAGACTCAGGATAACTTCCAAGTTCAGGTTTGGCAGCTGAGCAAGTTGTGTCAGCTAGTGAAACAGGAGGAGGTGCCTGTTTGGAGTGGGTGTACACAGGTGGAAAGGATATGATGAATTGGGGATAGGTGCTCCTGAGTCTTCTAACTGGGATAATAGGCTGACATTTGGACCTGTGGATCTGGAGCAGTTTGTTGCCACCTGTGTGTTCTTGACTACCAAATACAGACTTTATGGAGTCAAAAGCATGTAAGTAGGATTGAAACAAGTCAATAAGTATTTATCAAGCACCTACTAAGTGCAGGCATTTTTCTAAGTGCTAGGGCTATACCTAAGGATAAGACAAAGTCCGTCCCAACTCCCTCTTCTTGAAGCTTACATTCTATGGGGGAGGAGAGACAATAAGCAAATAAACATAAAAATAACATTAAGCTGTAGTATATGCCATGTAGAAAATAAAGCAGAGAAAAAGATTGGAGAGTATGGGGAATGCTTATTTTTGGTAGGTTAGTCAGGGACAGTCTCTCTGGAGGCAGCATTTGAGCAGAGCCCCGGCAGAGGTGAGGGGGTGAGCCATGTGGATATCTGGAAGAGATAGGCAGGAAGAAGCTGGGTAAGTTTGAAGGACCCCAAGGATGCTGGTGGAGTGAGCGAGGAGGGGCTGGTGAGGTTGGAAGGTAGGCAAAGGCCAGATCTTCTAGGATATCGTAGGCCTTGGGAACGAGAATGGACAGCCTCTGTAGATAGCCCCAAGCTGCTGGGAGGGCAAGGACCAGGCAGGGAGATAGAATTCATGAAAGACTTCCCCTTCTCTCTGGGCCCCAGAGCCAGAAAAGCCCCTTTGTGTGGAGGGTGGGTGGCCCATTCTGGGTAGGGGAATGGCTGTGCTCAGTCCTGAGGCCTGTTCCTTGGGGGGCTGGACAATGGGCCCCTTGTGGCTGGACTTGGGGGCCCAGTGGCCCTCTCAGTGATGGGATTCCTCAGCCAGGAGGCATGTGACCTCAAGACCTTGGCGTCTTTCCAGAAGATCTGGGCCTACTTCTGGGGTGTGGGGTGGGGAGATGGGGAGAGGTCATGGGGAGGGAGGAGGGAAACCTCCACTCTGGAAACTTTCTCCTGAGACAGTGTCCTGTCCTGACTCAGGCTGGAGGAGGTGGAGAGATAGGGAGGCGGGGGGCTGTTTCTCTGCTTGAAGGAACGGGGGAGGACCAGAGTTGGAAGCTACAGGCAACTTCAACAAATGGTTTCCACAGCAGGGCAGGAGGGAGGAGCTGGCTGCCCCTGGACCTGGTGGGCAGGGGCAGGCAGAAGAGGGCCTGACAAGCCTCCATCTTGTATCCCTTCAGCAGAGGAAAGAGCATGGAGCTGGAGAGGATTGTCAGTGCAGCCCTCCTTGCCTTTGTCCAGACGCACCTCCCAGAGGCCGACCTCAGGTAGAAGCTACTCTCCTAGAAGGGTCATGCTTGGGCCAGTGCTGGAGCAGCTGGGCAGGACTCTGGACCCTGGCCAGTGGAGAGACTGGGGTGGGGAGCACTCAGCCCTGTTCCTGAGATGCGGAAGGGCTGAGTGTGATCTGCTGGAGTGGCCTTGCCTCTCATCCTGTTCCCGTCACCCTTGTTGAACAGAGGGGAGGCCATATCTCTGAGGAAGGGGGAGGGTGGGATACTCTCCAGGCTTATGGCTTGAGGTCTGCCTCATGGTCCCCAGGAAGCCAGGGGCTGGAGTCCCAGGCTAACAGGGCTTGCTTGTCCCCTTCCTGCAGTGGCTTGGATGACGTCATCTTTTCCTATGTGCTCGGGGTTCTTGGGGACTTGGGCCCCTCAGGCCCGTCAGAGGAGAATTTCGACATGGAAGCCTTCACTGAGATGATGGAGGCCTATGTACCCGGCTTCGCCCACATCCCCAGGTAGGGCCTGTTTGGGGCCAAGAGGACGAGAGGGGCTGGCTGATGGTGGAGGGTGGGTTGAGTTGTCCTTTAACCACCCTCCTGGTCTTTTCAGGGGTACAATAGCGGACATGATCCAGAAGCTCTCAGGGCAGTTGAGTGGTGCCAGGAACAAAGGTGAGCCTGGGAATCAGGCCCCTGGGTGACTCAAACTGCCTCCTCCAAAGCCCTGACAAACCTGTTGCTCTTTCTGCCCCTTTAAGAGAATGTGCAGCCACAGAGCTCCGAGGTCCAAGGTCAGGTATCTATCTCCCCAGAGCCCCTGCAGCGGCCTGAAAAGCTCAAAGAAGAGACGATGTCTTCTGCTGGGGACACCCAAGATGAGGTACTGGTAGAGGAGGGTACCAGTGAAGGAGCTCAGGGGGCTGGAAAGGAGGAAATAGTGCCTCTTGTCAACATTTATGCCCACAGGCAGCTGGCCCTGAGGAAGAGCTGCTGCCAGGAGTGGACGTACTCCTGGAGGTTTTCCCCACCTGTTCAGTGGAGCAGGCCCAGTGGGTATTGACCAAAGCTCGAGGGGACTTGGAAGAAGCTGTGCAGATGCTGGTAGAGGGGAAGGAGGGGCCTCCAGCCTGGGATGGCCCCAACCAGGTATCCTCTGCTAGGACCCCCCTCAACCCCATGTAACCTCAGCCATGCTCCAGCTTAGTGTTAAGCCCCTGCCCCTAGCCTAGCCCCATTTGCTTCCCCTGCTGGTACTCTAGGACCTACACCTGGCTTCTCTCCGCAGGACTTGCCCAGGCGTCTCAGAGGCCCCCAAAAGGATGAGCTGAAGTCCTTTATCCTGCAGAAGTGAGTCTGGGCTGGGCAAGGCTGGGACCTTTGAGGGTCTTCCCAGGGTGGCAGGAGCTTCACCCAGCCAGTTTTTGGCAGGTACATGATGGTGGATAGCGCAGAGGATCAGAAGATTCACCGTCCTATGGCTCCTAAGGAGGTGAGACTGTCGGGGTCGTGGAGCGGGTGCATCTGTCTCCAGGCTTCCTCTGCTCACTGCCTGATTGCCCGACAGGCTCCCAAGAAGCTGATCCGATACATCGACAACCAGATAGTGAGCACCAAAGGGGAGCGATTCAAAGACGTGCGGAACCCTGAGGCCGAGGAGATGAAGGCCACATACATCAACCTCAAGCCAGCCAGAAAGTACCGCTTCCACTGAGGCACTTGCCAGACTCTGCCCGAGCAGTCTAGGCTTAGATCCCAGAGGGATGCAGGAGCCCTACACACCACACAGGGCCCGCCCTAACTCCTTTCCCCTTTCCTTTCCAACTTCCTTGCTCCACAGTGTTAACCTCCTCTTGGAGCTGCCACAGGCACAGTAAAGGTAGCCCCAGGAAGGTGTGAGTGCATTCTGGTCATTTCACAGCTGGGGTGCTGGAGTACTGTGTCTGTCTCTCCCAACCTCACATCCCCTATCTACAACAGGGCAACGGCACCAGGCAAGAGGGGGTAAAAAGCTCTTTATTTGAAGCTCTAGGGTGGGGCAGGGCATTGGCCTCTCACCGGAGGCCCCCACAGTTCAATTTCCTTACAGTTCGCAGTGAGGCCCCCGCCACACAGTCCAGCTGTGCCCATCGGCAGGCGGGTCAGACCTGCAGGTTGACAAAGGGTGCAAAGCCCACCATGTCCTGCAGCAGTACCAGGGCCTGATGCAGCGGCGGCTCCACGTCGATGTCCACACCGCGCTTCCGCAGGCGGCTTAGGCTGGGCTCGGCCACGTGGTGGCAGTGCCGCACCCGCAGCGAGCGCAGCGCCGGGCAGTACTCTGCCAAAGTCCTGGGGGAGGAGCAGGGGGAGGCAAAAGGCGTGAAGCCGCTACACACGGTGGGGGAGCCAGCAGAGCCCAGTCTCCCTCCAGTTGTGGCATACTTCCCTCCTTAGAGGAGGGAAGGGGCCTAATTTGAGGTCATACGCTCAATGCCTCCAGTGAACCAAGAGACTTCATGACCCCAGGATTGCAAGGTTTTCCCCTTGCTGAAGAATAGGCAGAAATCTGACTTTGTATCTGAAATTTCCCAAGGTATAAATACGAATTCAGAAAAGTTTTTCAACTATTGGCTCTCTGGCCTAGGTATTCCTGGAGGCACTTCCTGTTCAGAATGCGGTTCCTTGCTAGTAGAAAGATCCAGAAATTCCAGTTCTGCCAACTACAGCCCGCCCCTACCCCCAGAGACTTAAGCGATCGCTCTTCTCCCATTCCACCGACCCCAGGCCCAGGCACCTGATACCGTCGCTTCCGACACGGAGGCACCCTGTTAGGTCGAGGTGCAGGAGTTCCGGGCAGTTCCGAGCCAACTCCTGGACGGCGGTATCCCCTACGTTGGCGTTGACCGCTAGTGAGAGGCTGCGAAGGCCTGCGCCGCGCCTCTGTGCCAGGTATACGATGGCCTCATCCTTGAGCTGTCGGCAGGCGGTGAGGTCCAGCTCCTCCAGGGCCGGACAGCGGTCAGCGAGGCCGCGCAGCGCCAGCCCATCTACCCAGTCACAGTGCGCGAGCGAAAGGCGCTGCAGGCGGGGGCAGCCCTCGGCCAGCGCCCCCAGCGCGCGGCGGCTCAGTTGCCCGCAGCCAGCCAGCGCCACACTCCGCAGCTGCGGATTCCGCGCCAACACCGGCACCAGATCTTCGTCCGACAGCCATTCGTGACACGGCGCCAGCGCCAGCTCCTGCAGCCCCTCGGCGTCCCGCAGCAGCCAGGCCAATGCGGCCCGCGGAATCTGCGGACCCACCTATGGGCGGGGAGGCACCTCGACTCTCAGCTGTTCCCGGGGGAGGACGCTGCCTACTCGCCCCAGAGTTCTTTCCTGGCGGCAGGTTGCCCTCGGGGCTTGGCACCTGCCCTCCCAGGAGAGACCCTACGCGCCCTCAAGTTGATCCCTGGTACTCGCCCTTTGAGAGTACTTCCCGCTGGCATTCCTAGAGGCCCACGGGAGATCCGGAAGGGTAGACAGTGGGGCTGGGGGCTGGAGGCGGGGCGGGGGGCAGTATCCAGAAGGGGGCGGGGCTCCAGCCCCAGGCTCACCTGAGCGGCGTCGAAGCGGCGCAGCCGGGCGAGGTGCAGTTGCACTAGAGCCCGGAAAGCCCGACTGACGCGCTGCAGCCAGAGCAGCTGGCGCAGCGGCACCCGGCTCAGGACGTGTGGGAGCAGCACGTCTTCCCAGGGCAAATCCAGGAGCCTGTGGGTAAAAGGGCGTTGACGGCGGCGTCCCCGGGTCACTGTTACCTGAGAGTACGCCTCCGTTATGCTTCTAAGCCTAGGCTCCTAAAAGCGGCCCCCAGACCCAGCCCTTGTTCAGCTCCCCTCCCCCAGGCCCTTCTTTCCTCTCTCGGCCCCTCCGGGTGCTCGGTACCTGACGGCTCCGGGCTCTTGCTCCCCTCCGGACGGGTCCATAGGTGGCTCCATCGGCTGCCCACTGCGCGTGCGCAGTAAGGTCTTCTCGCAATGGCCTTGGAGCGGGCGCAGCAAACCCGCCTTCTTAAGCTATAGAGAGACAGGCCGATTCAATCGAGTGCCGGCTCACTGAGGATCCTATCTGAAAGCGTTCCGGATGGATCCCGAAACCGAAGGCGGAACAGACCGGTGGTATAAACTGAGACCTCGCCTTCTCTGCTATAGGGCTTGCGACTCGAGGCTGAGAACGCGATGGTGCAGCAGAGACTGACTTTTTTCGTTTTGGGCCAGTGGCCGCGTCTAAGTGAAGTGATGGGAGGAGCAGGCAAAGCCAAACGTATAAGGGGCGGGGCCAAGACTCTAAGGTTCTGGGCCTGCTTTCTCTGCCCTCTGGTCGCGTTTAGTGAGTTTGAAAAATGGGGAGAAACTGTCCAGGCTCTCATTGTCTGACACGGAGTGGATGCCCAAGAACTGGTGAATGAATTGAAGGGACAAAGTTAAAATTTATCTTCCTTAATGAAGCAAATTTGCCCAAACCTCCCATCCCTGGTTGAATGTGAGGTACAGAGCTATTCAACCCCTTCCACTCCCAGATTTGGAACGGGTTTACAGCTTTTGGGGAGAAATGTTGGGGGCGAGAAGGATTGTATCTCCAGCTGGGTCCCCTTCCTTTACCCAGGAGGTCTGGAATCCTAAGAAGAGTAAATGTTCAGGTCAGCCCACCAAGAATATTGCTTCTCGGTTGGCCTGGCGTTGGTCTGGGGAGTTAGTTCTGGGGTCTGGCATTGGGCCCGCCCTAGGGCAGCGGCCCCCAGACCTCTGAGTTCAGACTCTGGGTCGTCCTCTCATCGCGTCCCCAGATTCGAGTTCAGAGTCCGCTCCAGGGAACATCTGGAGCAGTGCTTTCCCCATCATCCATTGTTAGGGAGGGTGTGAAGGACGCAGAGGGCTACTGCTGTCCCTAGGAGCTCCCCCACCCCCACCCCCGCCCTAGCAAGGTTGCATTCTCCCTTCGTGCAACCGTTTCACCTGCCTCTTCATAACGAAAACTGCTTCCCATCCATTACCAGGGTTTCAGGCACCTCTGCAAGGTGGACAGGTCTGTTCCATCAATCCACTTTAAAGATGAAACCGAGGCCCTGGAGAGGAAGCACCTTGTCCGGGGTGAAGCGAATCGGGATAGAGAACTCAGGCATCCTGTTTTTCCCCGAATTCCTTTCACACTCCTCCAACCTCTCCCACCCCCACTCCCATGCTGCTGAGAAGAGAGTAAACAGCAGCGGGGAAGGACCAAGGAAGATCAGTTTGGGTGGGGGACTTGCTCCCTTTTCCTCCGCCTGCTTGGGGAACGGTAACTGGGAGGATAGATCTCTGCTAAGATAGAGTCAAGTGGGCGCGCACCACCTCGGGCCGCGCGCCTCCTCCCCCTTCCAGCTTTGTTCACGATTTTGCGCCTGCGCAGTGCGACAAATCTGGCGCTGTCCCCTTCAGCACCACGCCGAGCCCGCGCCGCCCCTCCCCGCGGTGAGCCCCGCGCACCCCCGCCTCGCACGTTCTCGCGCCCCCTGACCGCTCGAACAGACCCCTTCTTCCTTCCGAGGTCACTACTTGCCTGCCTTGGAGTTCCCAAGGAGAGCAGTTGCCATAGTAACTCTAGCGGCGCTTTCTTAAAATAGCTGGGCCCGCTTCTACCTTGGCCAAGGGCACACGGGTTGCCCGTCTCCCACTTCCTTTAGTCCATGCGTTATTCCGTCTATCCTCTTACTCCCAGACGGCAAGATGCCTAACTCAGGCAGCAAGGAAGTTCTTTTTGAAGTCTGACTAACATCCCTCCTGCTGCATCCTGGGCGAGTGGTCAGGGCTGTGTCTCCTGAGCCCTAGTCTCAGAACCCCCGGAGGGTTTGAGGCCAGGTTCTCTGGATATTTCTTCCACAAATTGATGGTCTCTTGGATTTAGGAGGCAGGTCCAGTCTACACCCGTACCGTGTGCTGGCGCGGCCGCGTGCTCGTGGGGGCGGGAGCGCGTGTGGCATATAACAGGTCATGTGGCAACCTCCTAGGGACACGCGTGGGGTCTGGAGCGGGACACGCGTGTGCAGCTGGGTCCCGCGTGCGGCTCAGGGGGTGGTGGACAAGAGGGACGTGGACACGATTGGGGTGGGGCATGTGAGGGTCTGAAGAACAGACCAGAGGTTGCATATGTCCTCCCCCTTGTCAGGGGCGGGTCTCAGGTTGGCGGGAGAGCCCAGCGGGGACCTAGTGTCGAGAAGTGGGGGGCAGCCTCTGGGGCTCAGGGCCCCGGGAGAGGGCGGGGGGGGTGGGTGGGTGGGGGGGATTAGCTCTGAGCCGCGCGTAGGGGGGAGAAGGAGGGACTGAGAGGCGGGCGGGCCTGGAGCAAGCGGGAGCCGCGCTGCCTTCACAGCCGAGCTGGGCCCAGCCTCTCCCCTGCCTCTCCTCGGCCCCAGCTCCAGGCGAGCAGCGGTGAGTACTGACGCGGCTGAGTCCGGGGCTGCACTGAGGGCACATGGGGCCCCGACTGAGCTTCAGAAACCTGCCTGGCAAGGTTGCTGCTCCGGACCCTTGCCTCTACCCTGCATTGCCACCAGGGGCCCCTTTACCCCTTTATGGTCGTTCCTGGGCTGGACAAGATCTGTCCTACCCCTGGGGGTGGAGAGAGAGACAGGGAGAAGGGTCTGGTGTAGCTCAGCCCCACGGCTTCCCCTCAGAGACCAGTGACTGGTGGGGGTTAGGGGAGAGGGTGTATGTCCCTGTTTAAGTATGTGTGTGAGTAGGCATCTGTATTTGTGTCTGATTGTGACCAGTAGGTCTCTGTGAGTGTCTGATATACCTGTGTCTCTGTGTATCTTGGGGAATGAGGGCCTTGTGTGTATATTTGGGTATCTCTTTGTGTGTTTCTGTTTGATTGCCGTGTGTGTGTGTAAAACAAGCATGTGCCTTTCCATTACACACATATTTGTTATGACTGAGAGTGTATGAGGGTGTGTCTTTGAGCAATGTGTGTGTGTGCCTGTGTCTGTGTGTGCTGGAGGGTGTTGCCTATGAATGTGTTAGCTGTGTACTGACATTATTTGTCCTTATGTGTGTGTGCGCATGAGTGTGTGTACCTGTATGGAGAACAAGAATGTCCTTTTCCCATTCAGCGTGTATGTGTTAGTGTCACCTGTGCCTCTCAGCCTGTCATGTCCCTATATACCACCCCATTCTTCCTCCCTCTCCTTCCAGGAGGCCTGAGTCCCCTCCCCTTGAATGAGGGGCTCCCACAGAGACACTGTGGGAAGCCCCTGGCCATATGATGATGATGGCTGGCTGATATTTCTGATCCTGAGGGTGGGGTAGCAGTCTTCCCCTTCCCCCACCAGAAGTAGTTCCAAAATACCACAGTGACTCTGGGTTCACTCAGCTTCTGAAATAGCTTCCTCAGTTCTCCCAGGGTGATGCTTAGGGCCCCCAGGCAGAAAGGACAGGAGCCAGGGGCCCACTAGGGCATAATTCTTTTCTCCTCAGTCCTCCATGGAAATAGCCCAGCAGGAGGACTGATCGCCACCCCCAGGGGTGGGATCAGTGCTGCCATATTCCCAGGGTGGGCTAGACCCCTGGTGCCCAGTGGCCCCATCTGCTTTCCCCTCCATGTCTCTGCCCTCCCATCCTCCTGACTCCCCAGCAGTTCACCCCCTGCTCCCCTTCCTCTCTTGCAGGCCTGTCTGAAGAGCATGCTGCCCGCTCACTCCCTACCTGGCCTGGCCATCCCTGCCCCCCCAGCCTGACCCCCGGCCCCAGCATGGCCCAGGGTGCCATGCGCTTCTGCTCGGAAGGCGACTGTGCCATCTCCCCACCACGATGCCCACGGCGCTGGCTCCCCGAAGGCCCAGTGCCCCAGAGCCCCCCAGCCAGCATGTATGGCAGCACAGGCTCCTTACTCCGGCGAGTGGCAGGTCCAGGTCCCCGAAGCCGGGAGCTTGGACGTGTGACAGCGCCCTGTACACCTCTGCGTGGCCCCCCTTCACCCCGCATTGCTCCCTCACCCTGGGCACCCTCTTCACCCACTGGGCAGCCCCCACCAGGGGCCCGGAGCTCTGTGGTCATGTTCCGCTTTGTGGAGAAGGCCACCGTGAGGCCACTGAATGGGCTGCCTGCTCCTGGAGGCTTGAGTCGGAGCTGGGACCTGGGTGGGGTCTCTCCTCCCAGGCCCACCCCAGCCCTCGGGCCTGGCTCCCATCAAAAGTTGAGGCTAGAAGCATCCACATCAGACCCGCTTCCAGCTGGAGGAGGCTCAGCTCGTCCTGGCAGCCAGGGCATTTTACAGGGGCCACCAACTCAACCCCAGGTTGGAGCAGATGGTCTTTACTCCTCTCTCCCCAATGGGCTGGGAGGACCCTCTGAGCACCTGGCCACATTATTCCGAGGATCTGCTGACACTGGACTCCCGAACCAGGTATGTGATCTCTCTTGGGCTCCGTGCAGCCCCACAGACCCAGCAAAGGCCAAGGCTTGTCTTGTCTCCATGGTGGTCTTAGGCCTATCACTCTGAATTCTTCAATCTGGGCTAAATCTGCCTCTTTCTTGCTCTCTGTGTTTGTCCTTATGTCTCTGTACCTCTGTCCCTGTATGTTTTTCCTTCTGTGCTTTTGTCCCATGTTCTTGTGTCTTTGTATGTCTGTTTTTCTCTCTGGGTGCCTGTGTCTGTGACTCCCTCCTTGGCTTAGGGGGACATCTGGTCCTCACCCCGAGAAGTCTCCTCTCATGCCCAGAGAATCGCTCGAGCCAAATGGGAATTCTTCTATGGCTCTTTGGACCCCCCCAGCTCAGGTAAGGCCTGGGACTGAGGCCAGGGAAACAGGACAGGGCCTTTTCCACAGGAGCCATGGTATGCTAGGGAGCCTTCCTTTAAACTCCCCCAGTCCTTTCCTGGGCTTCTGAGTTGGCTAATGCCTCTCTAAGCCTCAGTCTTTCCATTCGTGTTATGATAGCAGTTGGGGATGGCAGCTGGTTTGGGCACCTGGAGGCAGCTGGATGGTGGAGGGAGGGGAAGGGCAAGATATCAAGGACCATTCCTTGGAGGAGCAAAGAGGCTGGTCTCCCTCAGGCCCCTCAAAACTGTTTGACAAGAAGTTGATTTGAAAGGAGCTTCACCAGGAAGAAGCTGAGTTTGTAGCAGGAGGAATGGTGACTAGACAGCGGAAGAAGTTCAGGCCAATATGAGGCAGTGGGGGAGATCTCCTTCCGAGAACAGAATCAGGACAGGGAGCTGACCTGAGTAACCTGCTGACCTGGATGCCTATGCACACTGCAGGTGCTAAGCCCCCAGAGCAGGCCCCCCCATCTCCACCTGGGGTGGGCTCAGGGCAGGGCTCTGGGGTGGCTGTGGGGCGAGCGGCCAAGTACTCCGAGACGGACCTGGACACGGTGCCCCTGAGGTGCTACCGCGAGACCGACATCGATGAGGTGCTGACTGAGCGGGAAGAGGCTGACTCGGCCATCGAGAGTCAGCCCAGCTCTGAGGGCCTGCCTGGCACTGCCCGCCCACCTGCCCCACGTCCTGGCCCATGCCTTGGCCCTCATCCCAGCCTGGGCAGTGGCAATGAGGACGAGGATGAGGCAGGTGGGGAAGAGGATGTGGACGACGAAGTGTTTGAGGCCTCAGAAGGGGCCCGGTGAGTGAGTGGGGGAGCGGGAGAGGAAAGTGACTTGTTCCTTCCCACTGACCCAGAGCCAGGGTTGGGCTCCAAGGGACTGGGATAGAGACCAGGGTGGGGCTGGGAGTGTCAGGACCAAAGCTGGAGCGCTGACAGGGCGGTGGAGCACGGGATTCTGGACCGAAGCCTGCGGCCCGGCAGAGTACCGGGGTTGGGGTTGTGAGGGGCCATCATCAAGAACCCAGGAGGGTAGGAACACAAGGATAGAGGAAGAAAGGGGTTCTAAGGAAGGAAAGGAGGGGTAGGGTGAGAGGCCAGAATCAAGCCTGGGGGCTTGGGAGCATCAGTTTAGATCCTGGATCCTGGCAGGAGAATGTGGAGTGTGGGGGCTTTCCTCTCTGTCTCACACCCCATTGCAGCTTGGAGCCTCATCTTCTTCTCCTAAGATGTTGCCAGAAATAGAAATGGAATGGCAGGAGGGGAGAGGATCAGGGAGAAGGAGGAGAAAGGGAGATTAGTAGGGAGTAAGAGAGGAAAGGGATTGGGTACTGGGGATGGGTAGGGCTGGGGTGTTCTGGGGGCACTGTATAGCTTGGTGAACCTGTGGTGAGGAGCCCTGAGCTAGGTAACTTTTGGGAGGGGCTGGGAGCCTGTGAAAAGAGATGATAATCCCCTTCACAGAGTTGGTGTGAAAGTGCAGTGAAATGCAACCTGAGAGCTGTCCTCTAGGCCCCTGATCAGAGATTCTCCCTGCCCCTGCAGGCCAGGTACTCGAATGCCTCACTCCGGGCCTCTCAAGTCACCTCTGCCCTTTCTACCTGGGACCAGCCCCTCGGCTGATGGGCCTGACTCTTTCAGTTGTGTGTTTGAAGCCATCTTGGAGTCACACCGGGCCAAGGGCACCTCCTACACCAGCCTTGCCTCACTGGAGGCCCTGGCCTCACCTGGCCCGACCCAGAGCCCCTTTTTCACCTTCGAGCTGCCTCCCCAACCCCCTGCCCCCAGGCCTGATCCACCTGCTCCTGCCCCACTTGCTCCTCTTGAACCGGATTCTGGTACCAGCTCTGCTGCTGATGGGCCTTGGACACAGAGAGGGGAGGAAGAGGAGGCAGAGGCTGGAGCCAAGCAGGCCCCAGGGAGGGATCCCCCTAGTCCCTGCCACTCAGAAGACAGCTTTGGACTGGGGGCAGCACCCCTGGGCAGGTGAGTGATTCTTTGGTTCCCCAGACCTCAGGCCCTAAGGTCCCAGGAACAGTTGCTCCAAGGGATGGATCCTGAATGTGAAAATGTGGTTTATATTCCTGACTCCTGACTGGGGTGGTTAGGGGATACAGATGTGTTTTGCTGTTTGGAGGACTACTTCCAGTGGCTGTGAGTGGGAGTCCCTTACAGCCTGCCACCTTGGTCTCAGACCCGGCGACTTGTAAAACCATGGTTCAGGATGGAAGGATCCCTAGAGAACACCGCCCTTTTTCTCTAGAAGGCCGCTTCCCTCCTTACATAGAGCCTCTAACCTGCTTAGAATTCTTCTGCCCTTACCCCACCCCCCAGCCTGGAGGTTCCTCCCAAAGAATCAGCCACCAGCCTCTCCTATTGCCTCTCTCCCATGTCGCCTACCCTCTCCAATCTGGAGTCTCTCACCCTTCCCCAGGAAGTCCTTTCACCAGGCTAACCTTTCTGCTCTCCCCTCTGCCAGCTACCAGCTCAGTCACTGAAGCCATGGCAACAGGAGGGGGTGGCCAGGGAGACAGGGTTGCCTAGCAACCAGGAGTTTCCGGCCTCTGTCTCTGGGGTGACAGGTGGCTTTGTGAGTAGAGCAGCTGGGGTGGGAAGGGAAGGGAGGAGACAGGGGCTGAGGGGGTGTGCTCTGACCCCCTATCCCCTCTACCCCAGAGCCTACTTCTTTGTGGGTGGAAGAGAAGGACCACGGAGGAGATTCCTCTTGCTAAAAGGCGGGAAGAGGAAAGACATAGGAGCAGGAGAGTGTCCCTGCTGCCTCACATCTTTGACCCTCCACTGTTCCTCCCTAGCAGTCCATCTATCCTATCTCTGCCCATATTCTCAGAGAGAGAGGACTCTGTCCTGAGTAGGGCCAGTGTGGGGATGGGGAATCTATGTCTAATAGCAAACTTAGGGAGTTTGGGGGAAAGCAGCCCGAACTCCCACAGCAGCAAGATGCATGTGTGTTAGATTTAAGCCAGGACTTCCACAGAGAGGTGGTAATGATGGACTAGGCTGATGGAAAGAATCTCCTCTGGAGAAAAGAAAAATGCCTTCCCCATGTCCCAATCTTTCCTTCTCTGTCTACTGGGTCTGGAGGCAGAGGAAGCATCTGGATGGCCCCTGAGGGCTTGTCCCATCTCTGAGCTGGTGTTCTACCCTGGCAGCGAACCACCCCTGAACCAGCTGGTGTCTGATTCGGACTCAGAGCTGGACAGCACAGAGCGGCTGGCCCTGGGAAGCACTGACACCTTGTCCAATGGGCAGAAAGCAGACCTGGAGGCTGCTCAGCGCCTCGCTAAGAGGCTGTACCGACTAGATGGCTTCAGGAAGGCGGATGTGGCCCGGCATCTGGGCAAGAAGTAAAGACACTGGGCTGGGATTGAGGATGGGGGGAGAGGGATGCATTCTGTGGGCAGCATCCCCTATATCTGATACCCCCAGGTCTTTAGGTTACCCCCACCTGGCCCCTTGACACTTGCCCTTGAGACTCCACCTGTCTCTCTGCCCTGCCCACAGCAATGACTTCAGCAAACTTGTGGCTGGCGAGTACCTGAAGTTTTTTGTCTTCACGGGCATGACTCTGGACCAAGCTCTCAGGTGGGTGTCCAGCCCTTTGACAGCAGGCCCTACTCTCTAGGCCTAGTGTGCAGGGCATCAGTTATGCCTGCCCTGAGCCCTGTGCCTCCCCTAAACTGCCCTGAAGTCACTCTTCCCAAGCTGACTGGGCATGGCCAGGAGCCTGAGTTGCCTGGTAAGGGGACCTTGAGTAGATGTGACATGCTCCCTCTTCCCCTCTCCCCAGGGTATTTCTCAAGGAGCTGGCCTTAATGGGTGAGACCCAGGAACGGGAACGTGTGCTGGCCCACTTCTCCCAGAGATACTTCCAGTGTAATCCTGGAGCCCTGTCCTCAGAGGGTGAGGAGGCCGGGGTCAGGGTTTTCCTGTCTGGTCATGGAGGCAGATGGGCACTGCATCTGTGCAAAGTGGCATGAGTGTGTGTGAAGTACATGAGTGCACAAGCTTGCAGGCATGCAAGCACGCATGTATGCAGACAATACTGGCATGACTGCACGGATGTGGAACTGTGCATGTGGGCAGGTACAGCGCTAGAGGCTAGTGTGTGCTGTGAAGAGGCACGTGGCAGATGTGTTTGCATGCCGTTGTTCACATATATGTACAAGACAGTGCTTGACCTGAGTAGGGATTCTGTTTGGCCTGCATAACTGTGTGGGGCCCAGCTGCTTGTGTTTAATGCATAGACACAGAGGAAGCTTGGTGTTGGGTGTGAGCAGTGGGCTGTCCCCAGAACCTTAGGGAGTTAGGTAGGGTGTCCTAAGAAGAGGGAGAGGTCCTGTCTGAGGGATTTGCTGGAGGAGAGAGGTCTTTGCTCCAGAGGGGTTTGCCAGTGGGGTCCAGGACTTACAAAAGTGTGGCTGTGGGCCAAAGAGGGTCCGAGAGGGGACAGGGCATGAACTGGAAGAAAGAGGAAGGGAGCTGTGGGAAGACCCCTTGGGAGGCAGCCGAGGCTAAATGTTAACTCTCCCCTAGACGGTGCGCACACGCTGACCTGCGCCCTCATGCTACTCAATACGGATCTCCACGGCCACGTGAGTTGGGGGTTGGGGGGAACGGAGATGGGAAAACCCCGTCCGGAGTCTTCAAGGCCTGGAAGGCGAAGGACCGCCCCTCCCTGACCCCCCCAAAGTTGACAGGCCTCTGTGCCCTCCATTAGAACATCGGGAAGCGCATGACCTGCGGAGACTTCATTGGTAACCTGGAAGGCCTCAACGAAGGCGGCGACTTCCCCAGAGAGCTGCTCAAGGTGGGGGGTTGGGGCAGGGCAGAGGTGGACGGAGGGGAGGGACAGGGGACCTGACAGCAGGCCTTCAAGGCGGGTGAGGCGAGGGGCCTGTGAGCACCCAGCTCCTGCTGTGGAAGCCTGGGCTCTAGTGACTCAGCCTGGGGACCGCCCCCTCCCCCAGCCCCCACGGGACTGGCTCTCCCGGAGCATGCGCTCTCGTCATCCCTGCAGGCCGTGGGGGAGGGCGGGGCTGGTCTGGAGAATACGGGATCAGCGGGCCCTGGCCTCTGTATTTTGCCTTCATTAGTGCCCTTACTACAGTGTTCACTGAGTTGTGGTGTATGGCCTCTCTGGTACCGCTGCACCAGAGGGACCCGGAGGTAGAGAGGCGTGAGAGGGACAAAGGCTTTAGAAGATCTCGAAGTCAGCACGAAACTGGGACTACATACTGAGCTCTTGGGTCCTTAATGGGCAGGCCCTGCGCCCGGGCGCTAGAACCTGAGGGTTAGCTACACTGGAGCTGGTAGGATGGGAGGAGGTCCTGGTCCCTGGCTTCACTCCTCTCCCAGATCCGATGGTGCTTTATCGGAGGAGGCCTGCACTCCCAGAGTTGTCAAGGGAGTCCCCGGGCACCATCTACGTGTGACAGTTACAGGTGTGTCTGTGAACTTGGGGTGTGTTGAGCTTCTGAGTTTGGGGATGCACATGAGTGGGGCTGTCCTTTGTGAGTTGGGGGTGGCTAATGGTTGGGATATATACTGAATTTAGTTGTATACTTATATACGTGTGATTTAGGGTGTCGGTGAACCAAAGGGGTTTGTCTGACTTGGAGTGTGTTTGTCCTTAGGTTTTATGATGTAAAGTGTATCTGAGTTGGGGGTGTAGGTTGTGTGTTTGTGTGTGTTGGGATGTATATCTGCGAATTGGCTATCCGGTTTATGACATGTGTCCATGAGTAGAGGGGGTGTATGTGAGTTAAAGACTGTAAAATTTGAGGTGTACCTCTGAATTTCTACTGTCTGTGAGTTGAGGTGAGTGTGAACTGGTGCATCTGGCTAGTTGGGATGTATGTAAGGTGGGGTGTTTGAGCTTGATCTGGGGTATACACAGGCATTTTAAGTATTTGCAGCTTGGCGAGGTGGGTGATTCCAGCTTCTTGGCCCCTCCTGGCTCCATAAAAAAGGGCCACCAGGAGGCGTTCCGACCTGTCTCCTCACCACCCCACCCTGCCGAGCCCGGGGGGCGCTCCAGACCCTACAGGAGCAGCCCTCCTTCACAGCCCCAACCTCCCAGCGCCCCTGGAGCAGGCCACCCGCCCCCCGGAACCCCCCACTGGCTCTCCCAGGCGCCTCCCCGGTGACGGCGCGCCGCGGGCCCTCCTCTCGGTCGGACGCCTCCATGTTGCGCCGTCCCCGCCCCCAGCCCTCGCCCTCCCCTCCCCGTCGGCGCCCCCCTCCCGCTCTCGCCAAGCTGCAGAGCCGACCGCGCCGCCGCCGCCGCCGCGCGCTCTGTGCGTCGGTGGGAGCCAAGCCGGGCCGGGCTCGGGCCGGGCCGGGCCGGGCCGCTCGCGCCGGCTGTCGGGGGAGCCGTCCGCGGGCCGTCCGGGCTGTCCGGGGCCGAGGACGGACGGGGGCATGGCCGGGGGCCGCGGCGCGCCGGCCAGGCCAGCATGATCGGTGTCAACAGCATCCACAGCAGCGCCGGGCGGCTGCGCTCGCGCTCGCTGTGCTCCGTGCGCTACGGGCGCACCCACCGCGGCGCGGAGACCCTGTGCTACGGCTGGCCGCAGCGCTCGCGCAGTCTCAAGCCCGTGCTCTACACCGACCTGGTGGTCAGCCGCCTGCAGAGCCGCAAGAAGAAAAAGGCGGTGAGGGCTGTGGGGCCGCAGCTCACGCCAGGCTGGGGGGCGACCGAGGGGGTTGCTGAGGGCGGCGCGCCACTGAGGGGGCGGCTTGAGGGAGGCGCCGAAGGCGGCACGAGCCGAGGGGGGCCTCGCTGGGGTCGAGGGGGTAACCCGACAGGGACAGAGCCCATGGGTAGCCAGGGGTGGGCATGGATGGAGAGGGCAGGGCAGAGGCCCTGAGATCAAGTTGGGGATCTCAGAACAAAGGGTCCTTCTAGGTGAGAGCACGATATGGAGTTCACCCGTGGGGTTTAGGACTTTTGGAAGGAAGACGTGGTTGTGGACCAACGGAAGTGCCGAGAGGGGGCAGGGGATGAACTGGGAGGCTGGAGACAGGATTGCAGGCCGGATCTCAGTGACCACTTCAGCGTCCTGAGTGGTCAGAGAGTTGGAGAGTGAGGGCTTGGGCTCTGAGCTATGCTGAGTGTGGGCTGGGCCTGTGCTTGGGCTGTGTGTGCACCTGTCTGGGTTGTGCTGTGGGGTGGAGGTGGTGGGGTGTACCTACCCCAGGCAGGGTGCGCACAGGTGAGATGCTTGGCACTTGGGGCTGGGCATAGCGGGTGGACAGTGAAAGAGTCAGAGACTATGTTGCGTGGGGAGCGGAGCCCAGGGCGGGGGGGCAGGGGCTGTGTCCCATCTTGGAGAAGGTGCCGACGTCACCACTGCACCCAGTTTCTCGCAGGCAGGCAGCAGCACACGCCACCACACGCCACACACTTAGCCGCACATGCTGGGGACACACCCACTCACAGACAGGCTGGTGAAAGCACCCCCAGAGTGGGAGGCACTGGTGTGAGCCCATGTTGCAGGCTGCTCCCAAGAAGAGGGGTCCCCTGTGCCACTCCTGGAACTCATCCTCTCCTCCCACCACCCTAAAGCCCCTGCAGGCCCCCCAGGCCAATTCCACAGAGAGAAGGGACTAGTTCAGGATTTCACAGGGAGTTTGTAGTGTACAGGGTTTGGAAGCTAAAACTATTGCCCTTTAGACTAATGTGCATTCCCCAGTAACATGAAGTATGGGCATGGGCAGGGGGTTGGAGCACCCTGGCATTAGGCTTGGTGGGGCTGTCTGGGTTGGGGGAAGTGCTCAGCTTGCCCTGGGGTTGGGAGCCATGAGAGCGTGTTCTCTGTTAGCCAAGGAGGGAGGTGACAGGGAAAGTCCTGTTCCTGGGCCTCAGTTTCTCCATATGCTCTGTGTGGGTTTATTCTGTGGAAATAGGCCAAAACATGTGGTTGGGGAAAGGAGAGCTTCTTAGGCTGCTCTTTCTATTCCCTCTAGAGCCGTGCTTCCCCAACCCAGGATCTAAATAGGATGACCCTTAACAATAACGACAGTAAAGTTGTATGCTAAGTCGCTTCAGTCGTGTCCAACTCTTCAAGCCCGTGGACTATAGGCCAGGCTCCTCTGTCCAGGGGATTCTCCCGGCAACAATACTGGAGTGGGTTGCCATGCCCTCCTCTAGGGGAGCTTCCTGACCCATGGATTGAACCCACATTTATCTCCTGCATTGGCAGATGGGTTCTTTACCACTAGTGCCACCCGGGAAGCCCAAAGATAATAGCAGTTACTATATATTGTACATCAACCATGTGCCAGGATGTCTGTGTTAATTGCTTGCCCTATGTTAAACACATGGTACTGGGATTTCCCTGGCGGTCCAGTGGTTAAGACTCCAAGTTCCTGATATGATACGGTGGCTGTGGGTTTGATCCTTTGTCAACGAACTAAGATCCTGCATGCCCCACAGCTCAGCCCCACCAAAAAATAACACATGGTAATCGTTTGTTCTTCCCATAGACACTTGTCCTGCAGCTCAAGTGGGAGATCTGGGCCTGGGTTCTGCCCTTCATTCTACAGCCTGGGTCATTGGTCATTACACCGATGCCAATCCTTACCCCCAGTTCTATCTCCTCCCCCTGACTGGGAGGGAGGGCTCTGAGCTCTGGCATTGGTGCACCTCCCCCAGGACCGACCCCCACCCCCCTGATTTGTTCCTTCCTCCCCAGGCCTTGTACAGCTCCATCAAGAATGAAAAGTTGCAATGGGCCATGTGAGTCCTGGGGATGTCCGGAGGCGGGGTGGGGGGGATGAGATGTCAGGAAGGGGCTGCCTGGAGGGTTGAGAGCACTGAGGTGGGCTGAGTGAACACTGGGGCTGTGAGACAGGGGAGGTGGGTGAGGCTGTCAGAGGCTATGAGGCTGCCTCACTTCCTTTTTTGGAGATCCCGCCTGGATGTGGGGCCTGTGTCTTGTCTCTAGCTGGTTGTTTTGACAAGCTGGGTTGGGTAGGTGGCCAGTATCAACTGGCCTGGGAGGAGGGGTGCTGAAACAAAATGGGGAGGTCTTTTGGCAACCCAAGTGGGAAAGTAGAAGTCTCTGACCAATAGAGGGAGAGCCCCTTCTTGGGTCCTAGGGAGTCCAGAGTTGTCTACTCTTGGCAGCCCCAGTGAAACAGAAAGACTTCAGAGTTGTCTTGGAAAAGTCTAGTCTGAGGGAGGAGGTCTAGTGTTGAATCTCCCAGTCTTAGAGTACAGCCCTCATCTAAACAGACAGTGGGTCACTCATACTTGCTGGTATCTGCTCAGAGTCCAGTCACTGCTCAGTTTAGTTGGGAGCTCCCTCTGCTCATCAGAGGAGGCAAAGCTCAGGACTGGGGTACAGGGTGGGGATCAGGGAAAACTTCTGTGAGGACTGGTCTTGGGGCAAGCCTTGAAGGAGAGGAAGAATTATTTGGTGAGAGGAAGAGGGAAGTTGATATTTGGGAGGCAAATGCATGGTGGCTGAAAGGAGTGTGGGGTGGGGAGACCAAGAGGAGGTAGGCCTAACTGGAATGGGGAGTGGAAGGAAAGAGAGACAGTGCTGGTGGGGATGTGGTGTAGGCTCCATGTGGGAGGCAGCAGGGAGCTACTGCAGGTTTTTGAGGAGGGAGTAACAAGATAGAATCAGATCCTTTAGATGATATCTGACAGAGCCTGCAGACCAGGATGTACAAGGGAACCACTAGGAAGCTCCTCTTGCCACCATTTAGCCAACAAGCTGTGAGTAAAGCTTGGTGCTGGGTGTGGTTGAGAAGCTGAGTCAGACGTTTCTGCCCTAGTGCAGAAGGGAGTGAGGGGTGTGTGTGCAGAAATGGAGAGGACGGGGCTGGGTCCATGTGAAGAGAGGGACAGACATGGCCCTACCCGTGGGAGCTCTAATATGGGGGCAGAGACATGCTGGCTCGAGGAGCCCTGATCTGAGTGGGGAGGTACAACGGCACTTTGGGCCACTGGGTCTGAGGCCGGAGATGTGGCTCCAGGAGCCTCAGGCTGAGGAGAACCACACCCTCTGTGGCTGCTTCTGTGGAGAAGAGGGGCAGCCCTCCCACCCCCTTCTCCACAGACACTGGAGAGCTTTCCTGGGTGCCAGAGGTCAGGACTGGATGTGGGGGCAGGGTTGTGGCTCCACGACCAGCCCCCTCTGAGGTGATCACACCTGCAGAGACGAGGAGGAGCTGAGACGCTCTCTGTCTGAGTTGGCCGACCCCAACCCCAAGGTCATCAAGAGGGTCAGCGGGGGCAGTGGCAGCGGCTCCAGCCCTTTCCTGGACCTGACTCCCGAGCCCGGGGCTGCAGTCTACAAGCACGGCGCCCTGGTGCGAAAGGTGCACGCAGACCCTGACTGCAGGAAGAGTATGTGGCCAGGTGGGGAGGCCTGGGAGGGGGATGGGAGTGGGCCTGTTTCAGGTCCCCCCAGACTCATCTTCCTCACCCCCCACCTCTGCCCATCCACCAGCACCTCGGGGCAAGCGTGGCTGGAAGAACTTCCATGGGATCCTCAAGGGCATGATCCTCTATCTGCAGAAGGTTCGAGGCCAGCCCAAAGGGGTGGGGCTGGGGTGGCTCAGGGGATGCAGGGGGTTGGGCTAGGCTTGGCCAGGACAAGATGGGCGCCCCACAGGAGGAGTACCAGCCTGGGAAAGCCCTGTCGGAAGCTGAGCTTAAAAACGCCATCAGCATCCACCACGCGCTGGCCACGCGGGCCAGTGACTATAGCAAGAGGCCACACGTCTTCTACCTGCGCACTGCTGACTGGCGGGTCTTCCTCTTCCAGGCCCCGTGAGTGCCCTCCTCTGGCCCATCCCAGACCCCTCCCCCATCCCCAGCAGACTCCCCTCCCCTGTCCCCGGGCTGCCTCGTTCCTTCTTGGGCCACACCCTGAGCCAGCACTGCCATCTCGGGAAGGATCCCTGGCCCCAGTCCCAAGTGGCCGTGCTGTTTCCCCAGGAGCCTGGAGCAGATGCAGTCCTGGATCACTCGCATCAACGTGGTGGCTGCCATGTTCTCCGCACCCCCCTTCCCAGCTGCCGTCAGCTCCCAGAAGAAGTTCAGCCGCCCTCTGTTACCCAGCGCTGCCACCCGCCTCTCCCAGGTACCCTCCCCTACCTCCTGTCCACCTGGTGCCTCGGGGCAAGTGGGGCGCTGGAGTGGGGCCGGCCTAGGCTGACCATACTTGAGGCTGCTGCCTATGATGTGGCTGTCCACCGAGCCGGGATGCAAGGGGCCATGGAGGCTGAAATCCAGTCAGTTAACCCAGACACAGGGTGCTTTGTTCATCCAGAGGAAGGAGCACCTTTTCAGAAACCTTGCACAAAGGCACTGTTTATGCCAGAGTAACCCTAATCGTGCTCCCTTGACCCCTAGGAGGAGCAGGTGCGGACCCACGAGGCCAAGCTGAAGGCCATGGCAAGTGAGTTGCGGGAGCATCGGGCCACGCAACTGGCCAAGAAGGCCCGCGGCAAGGAGGCTGAAGAGCAGCGGCAGAAGGAGGCGTATCTGGAGTTTGAGGTAAGCTCCCAGCCCAGGCACCTCTTGCTCCATCAGGGCCTGTGTCCCATGCACAGGCTCAGACGTCTGGTTAAGGGCATGGCTCAGAGTGGGACTATCTGGGTGACCCTGGGCAGGCAGCTTTCTCGCCATGAGCCTCAGTTTCCTCTCGAGTGGGACAGGGAGGACAGTAGTCTGTCCCCACTAGGGTGTGAAGGGAGCCAATTTCTGCCAAGGGCTCCATTTCGCTGACTCTGGTAAAGGCTCCAGGAACATGAAGTGTTACAGCTGGCAGTCTACAGAGTCCAGAGAATGGCACCAGAACACCCAGGGGTGTGAGTGGTCAGTCAGTCCTTGGGGGCTTCAGGGGTCTTAGAGGTTGGCAAGAACCTGGCATCTCCTAGCCTTCTTTGGCTCCCTGCTCCAGATGGGGTGGGCTGGGCAGAGGGGGACCAGCAGGTTCACCACTGCCCTTCTGCCTCAGAAATCCCGCTATGGCACGTACGCAGCGCTGCTTCGGGTCAAGATGAAGGCAGGCAGCGAGGAGCTGGATGCAGTGGAGGCAGCAGTGGCCCAGGCCGGCGGCACGGAGGATGGACTCCCTCCTCCTCACTCCAGTCCCTCCCTGCCGCCCAACAACTCCAGCCAGCCCCGGGCTCAGTGTCCTGACTCAGAGGCTCGGGCAGGGGCAGGCAGTGGGCGGTGGAAGCCCTGAGCTGGGGGTGGGAGTTGGGGGGGTGGTGCCCACCGGGCACCTGCATGACACGGCCCTGCCTAAGCCCGGGCCGGCCTCGGGCCACCTGTGAGGGCCTCTTGGTCCAGGGCCTGACCGCGCCGGACGCGGTGTCCGGGGCAGGGCAGGGCTAGGGCATGGGCCTCGGAGCCTTAGGCTAAGGGCCCCTCCGAGACCCCCTTTTTGTGATAATGTTTTGCACTTTTTCGTACCGGGGATGGGGGTGGGAGGGGCCAGGGCCCCTGGACTCTTGATGCTCCTTTTTTTTTTGTGGGGGAGACCTGATGTTTCTGCTTTCTGCTGAGACCACCCCCCACCCCTGACACCAGCAGTCCCCCTCCAGCCTGGGGCCTGGCTCAGACACAAGCCAGGAGTTGGGGTTGAGCTGCTTTCCCTCCCACTGCCCTGCGGGCTCACCCTCTCCCTTGCCAGAGGTGGAGGATGGACGTCCAAGCTGAGGCCCCGAGCGCAGGCCGGGCAGTGCGGCCTTGCTTCTCTCCTCCAGTGGGCCCTGCCCTTTGTATCGCCTCCACCTCCATTAAAACTGCTCTCAACTTGCTGGCTGGGCCTCCTCTCTCCAGTGCCTGGCCTGAGGCCAGGGTAGGCATTTGCTTCCCGGGGACAAGCATCACACACATCAGGGGCTGCTGTAAGTTGGAGAGGAGGCCAGGCCCCCCTCCCTTTCTCATGAGAATCTTTTATTTGCCCCAACTGAAGGGTGGGCATGGGGTGTTAAATAAGAACTGGAACAGGCAGGGTCACTGTACAGAGGGGGCCCGGAAGGGGCTGGTGGGTGGGGAGCAGTTCAGTGCACCTGAGGCTGGGGGTGCCCATGGCAGAGCCCTCCTGGTGGCTCAGGGGGTGGGCCCAGCTTCTCTGCTTCCTGTTCCACCGACTGGCTCCCATAGGCACTGTCCTCCTTCACCTCTGCTGGGGGTGTGGACACAGGAAAGGGCGCAGGGAAGAGTCAGGCCTTAGGCCTCCCACCCTCCAAGCCCACAGCCACCTCTCAGTTACGGCCCCTTTACCTGTGCTGGGCAGCTTTTCCTGGGTCTCTGGACCCTTCAGCAGCCTCACCCCCTCCTCCAGGCCCATGTCAGACAGGGCATTCAGCAGGCCCGCCAAGTCGCCACCAGCCAACTGAGGAGACGGAAAAGGCATGAACCAGGAGTTGTGGTTAGGGTATGGGATCCCCAAGGAAGCACCAGGGATCTGAGACTGGGACATGGAGCATGGGTCGGGGCCTGACTGACCTGGTAACTGCGCAGGAGGCTGCCACTGGGCGAGGCTGTCCTTCGATACGTGTCCACCAGACTGCGCAGCCCCAGCCGTTCTGCCAGCTCCGCCCAGCTGCCCTGGGCTCCTGGCCCGTCAAGCAGATGCTCCAGGTTCTGTAGGACTGTATCTTCAAGGGGCATCTCTGGCCCTGAAGGGGACACACACACATAAACATGTTAGTTACCCCCAGAGATGGCAAAGACAGACACCCAAATGTCACCTTTCTCTCAAGGCAACCTGATAGGGCAGGCAGGGCCACTGGGGCAACGGATGGAGGATGGGGATGGAGAAAAGGAGATCTCCTTCAGTGGACCCGAAGGACAAGAGACCGCTGTGAGCAGGGGTCAGGGGTCTGGCAGTGGGTGGGGGGAGCTCCTCACCTGCAGGGCTGGGCGGGGTCAGCGGTGGCGCCATGGTGTCCTGAGCAGCGTTTAGCAGCAAGGTCTTCACCTGGGGAGACAGCCTCAGCCTTGACTACCTCGCATCACAGTCCCTGAGCCCAGGTAGCAGCTACTCAGGACCCCATCTACAAGCCCAGATGCCCCATCTCCTGGTACTGCTAGTCCCGGGCTGGCCTCACCTTGCTGCTGTGAGTGAGGTCAAGAGGTGTGTGGCCCCGGAAGCTGCCTCGGGTGTCCCTCTCAGGGCTCTCGGAATCTGAGTCACTACCAGAGGTGGGAGGCGAAGGCAGTGGGCACAGGGGCTCCTCGTTCTCTGCATGGATGTCAGCACCTGGGGCAGGGAGATAGTCATGGGGAGGCTCCCTCGGAGCCCACATTAAGGACTGCAAAGTGGGGGATGGGGTGGCACCCCCTTCCCTCCCGCACCCCTGTTCACAAGCCCCAGAGGTGAGACTGACCAGCCTTCAGAAGGAGGCGGGTGAGCGTTGGGGATCCCAGTCCAGCTGCCAGGTGCAGGGGTGTGTTTCCCGCAAAGGTGCGGGCATTCACGTTGGCCCGGAGCTGTGGGATGTGAGGGAGTGGCTGATCACAGCACTGACTGACCCGCTGGGCCTTCCTCCACACCTTCTCCGTCCCCAGGCCCTCCACAGCCCTTGGCTCCACTTTTTCCACAGTCCTCAGTCCCACCTTGGTGACGAGATGGGTGACCAACCCCAGCTCCTCCATCTCTGTGGCTAGATGCAGGGCTGTCCGTCCCCCCTGCCGCTCTGCAGCCTCCACTTCAGCCCCACTCTCCACCAGCAGATCGAGGCACTCGGGGCTTCGGGCACGGACTGCCAGGTGGACTGGGTATAGCCCTAGTGACACAGGGTATTCAGCCTGCAGCTGTGCCCCTAATGTGAGCCCTTGACCAGCTGACCTCCATGCCTCACGTCCACTGTAGGCACTCCCCTGATACTCTCCCTGGTGCCCACCCTAGCCCGCTGGTTCAGATGAAGTGATGAACTCACCTTGGAAGTCGGGCACATGCAGCAGTTGGGGCATGGCAGGAACCCCACTTCGCAGCAGGGCGCACAGCAGGTCGGGGGCGCTGGCACCTGCCCGGAGTGCCAGGTGCACTGCTGAGTCTCCGTGCCGGTCCAGCAGTGCTGGGTCTGCGCCCACCTGCAGCAGGAAGCTCACCACCTTTGTCTGCCCCGTGATCACTGCCAGGTGCAGGGGCGTCTGGGGGAGGCAGGCAGGGTGAGCCAGGCTTACTCCTTGCCTCACCCACCTGACTTCCAACCCCTCCCCCTCACCAATAGAGGCCCCTTACCTGGTGCAAGTGATTGGTGATATTAACCACGCCGAGGTGCGGGGCATGGTAGATGACGTGGGCTATCTGCTCAATGACGCTGGTCTGCCCGTGGATGATGGCCAAGTGCAGCGGCCTAGGGATTGGGGGGTGAAACTCTGGCCTAGGAAGCTCAGCAACTTGTTATGCTTTACTCTCATAACGCCACCACCTCCATAATCTCCCTCGCTGGGGCCTCTCCAGCCCACGAGAGTAAATCCTTCCGCGCACATTTTGTGGTAAGTGCGTACTATTACTGTGCCTCTTAAACAGTCGACAAAACTGAAGTCTGCAGAGATTTAAGTATCTTGAACAGAACTAGAGCGTAGCGAGGCCGAATTTGAAACTGGGTCTGCCTAACTCCGGAACCCTGGCTCTATAGGTCCCTTCCCTGCCCCACAGCCCACGACCTTCCACCGGCGCGCTGAGCCGTGGTCCCCGCCCGCTCTCCCGCCCACCTACGTGTCTCCGTTCTCATCCTGCGCCGTCAGCAGGTGGCGCTGTCCCGCCAGCAGCGAGCGCGCGTCCGCCGTGACGCCGTAGTCCAGCAAGGCTCGAGCGCTGCGCTGCGCCAGGCCGAACAGGCGCGCGTTGTACTCCCGGGCTGGGGGCGACAGGGGGCGTGGGTGTGGGCTAGGTCCCCACCCGCAGCGTTCCGACCTCTGGGATTCCCGAGGTCATACCTCGATGCAGCAGCTCCGGGGCTTGCTGTTCGCGCTGGGGCGTCCCGGGGGGCGTGCTCGGCTCTGCGGCTTCCTCCCCAGCATCCACACTAGGCGTCTCGGCGGCCATCTGCGCCCCGCCCCCGCCTCCCGGGTAGCAGCCCATTGGGGCCGCGCCCGACTGGTAGGGGCTGTAGGCCAAGGATGAGGGGAAAAAGCCGAGGCTGCCACCTGTGGATACAGGCAGGACTGTGGGGAGAGAGCACCAGGAGGACTCTCCCAGATTTCTTCCCCATAGCTTTTCTCCCCTTTATCCCATTGCCCTTCCTGCCACCAGCACCACCTCACCTCCTCCTCCAGCTCCTCCATAACCCCCAGCCGAGCCCCCAGAGCCTCCACCCATGTGGGAGCCACCCCCAAAGGGCTGGGAGAAGGTGGGCAAGGCTTTCCTCCTCTTCCGCTGCACCTCCTCCTTGTCTAGGGGTAGAGGGAAATGAGATGTTAAAACCCCAACTCGCACCAGCCTCAAGAGCCCTGTCCCACACCTGGTAATGGCCTTTCCCCCAAAAGCCCTCAGGCTGGCTCCTAGGGCCACCTCTCTCTGGGACATTCCCTACTCCTGATTTCACTCATGGGTCCCCTGGTCTAGTTCTTGGGACCCTCCAGTAAAGCCCCCGCCTCCAGCCCCCCTGGGATCTTCAGCCCAGCTTCACCTTCTACCAGAGGATAATAGGTGAACTGTTTGGAATCAGAGACATCCCCCCCACGCTTGCGTTTCAGTTGCAGGAACACGGTTACAGGACGCTCAATCTTCATCTTGTGATAGGGAGGTGTCCGGAACACAATGGCATACTAGGGGGAAGGAGGACATAGGTGTCACTAAGGTCTTGACTTAATCTGAGCCCAGACCCAGCCCTGGCCCTAGGGTACCTGTTTGTGAACATCTGTGGGAGAGAAGTCCCCAAAGGCCTGCCATCCATTCTCATCATCCTCGTAGAACCGAACCTCAATGTCATCTACAGGGAAAATTGAATCCATAGGGCCATTTGTCCTGAAGCTGTTTTGCTCCTCAAGCTTGATACCCATTGCTAGCTCCCAGCCTGGACTCCAGCCTCACCTTTCTGCACCTTGTCACAGAGCAGATAAACCTCATCTCCACCCCGCACAGAGCCAGCTGTCTTGTCCATTCGAGAAATCTTCAGGTTTGAGGCTCCAGGAGACTCTATGGAGATGGCATATCAGTTACTTGAGATGATACAATAGCCACGGTCCCAACTAGGGAGCCAGGTGCTTTGTATTTTAACAACCCCAAGAGACACAGGAACTGCCAGTATCTTCATTTACTCAGAGAGGGGACATGACTTGCTCAAGATCACTCAGCTCATACATGGTGGGGCCAAGTTCAAACCCGGGCACGTCTGACTCCACAGTTAGGGGCTGCCCTCCATACTCCCTCTGGCACCCAGGCCCAGCACCCCAGGTGGTCAGGATACTCACTGCTGTCATGTATGGGCTGGGAGATAACTGGCTTCAGGGGCAGAGAGAAGGAGCCATCGCTGGCTCGAAGGAAGGCAGAAAAGCGCAGTCGCACAATGCTCAGATCCATCACCTTCTTCAGTTCCTTGGCCTCCTGCTCCAGCTCTCGACGCTCAGCCTCTGGGCAGTGCGCATACATGTGACCCCTGGACTCCTCCTCTGTTCCTTCCATGACCACCTCCCATGACTCCCTCCATATCCCCCATACCCGTAAGGCCCTGGGGCCTGGAGCGAAGACGCTGCCTCTGAAGTTTTTGTATCATAATCTCCATCATGTTCTTTTTGGTCACATGCAGGACACCCAGGTTGTTAAATCTGTGTGGGGGCAGGGAGAAGTCAGAGGCCTTGCGGGAAGTTCTTTCCTCCTGAGGCACCCTCCCCACAGCCAAGGCTCGGCTCAGCTCTACTTCCTCTAGGAAGCTTTTCTAGTTTTTACTTGGGGCCCTGGGTTCTGGGGCCAACCAGAGTCTCTTCCCTTGGTCAGATGCTAAGCTCACAAAGGTGGGCTGGGACCCAGAACTGGCAGGCAATGAGGGGGCACACCAGTGGGGACCAGGGGTAGGGGGCACTGGGCACCTACTGGGCAGTCATGTCCTTGGGCCCCACAGACACTGCGCAGACCCCCAGCTCCGAGCACTGTTTGCCCACCAGACTGTGGGCGTGAGCACGAGGTGGGTCACTGTGTGTTACCAGGTCCACCTCAATCTTGGCAGGTCCCTCGTAGTTACAGATCTGTGAGGGGTGAGGGCTGTCAGTAATGCCCATGGACACACTGTCCACCAGCCCACCCTCCAGCACCACCCTGGCTCACCTTGACAGTGGGATAAGTCTTCCGGCCCTTCTCGCTAGAGGCACCTGGCAGTCCTCCATGAGAAGGGCCTTCACAGCCATATCGAAATCGGAAGCCTCGCTGAAGGTGCCAGGGCAGAGTGACATTGTGACCAGGAGAAACATCCCCCCTCACCAGCCACATCCTCAGCCAGCAGTAACCATAATGACTGGACGTGTGTATCCTGAATCACCACCATGCCACTGTGATCAGCAGCTGCTAACCATCCCAACCCGAAGTGGGTCTGTGATCAGTTACCCTCCCCGTGGCCATCCAGCTACAACTATCCCACTTGCCCCCAAAGCTGAAGCCATCCCACACCATCCCTTCTACTTGCTCACCTGCTTAGGCTGTTCCACGATCACCAGGTAGGGACCATCAGCTGGGGACAGAGGAGCCTTGCTGAGCCAGGCTCTGCAATGGGACCTCTGAGCCCATTCCCAAGACAGAGGGCAGAGCCCATTCCCAAGACAGAGGGCACATACCACATGCTCCTCCCTCCCCCTCCCTCCAACACAAGGGCAGGTCAGGGGACTTATTAACCTGTCTCTGGGGCTGGCTCCTTGGGCTCCACAATGGACGGGTTGAATTTAAAATCATCATATTCAATGATGCCATCCAGACCCTGGTATGGAGACAGACTGGGATGGCAGCTGATTCTGAGCCACCCCCAGAACCCTCCACCTCTCATCTCTCTAAACCATTAGCAATCACTCCCTCTCCTAGGCAGGCCCATAAAATAGCTCCTACTGAAAGCAGTTTGCAGAGACTGACTGACAGGCAGGGTGAAATAATCTGAGGACATTAGAGGTGTAAGGGAGTAGAAGGGACTAGGACAGGCAGGCAGACAAGCAGACAGGCACCGGGGGGGTGGCCGGCTGGCTTTGGGGCCAGGCGGCGTGACTCACTGGGTCGTAGCAATTGTCCATGACTCTGGGCTAGGCCCGGCTCTGTCCGGTGGCTTCGGCCGGGTTCTGTTTCCCAGAGTTTCAGGCGCCCGCCTTAGGTGGGGAGGAGTGGCGGCGGTAGGGAGAGACAGATCAGGACGGGAGTTGGGGGGAGAGGGGGGCCCAAATTTAGGGGAGGGTCCGATCTCCTCCAACTACCCGTCCGGGTGTGGCGGGCAGGATCCGGTGGAGGGCTAGATCCGGAGCTGGGCTGGGCCAGGCCGGGGAAGGGGCAGGAAAGTTAGAACAGCTTAGGAAAGTCCCGAAAATACCAGGGGGAGGCGGGGCCAGAGGGGCGGGCCTGGAAATGACGCCACTGACCACGCCCCTGGCGGGAGGGGCGCGAGGTCGTCTCTTCGCTGGCCCGAGGGCGCCTGCAGCGTCTCTGCAAGCAGAGGGGCAGTCAGACCGAGGGAAGGCCCCGCGGGGCTGGGGAGGGGTCCCCCTCCTCTCTTCAGGGCCGGCCCCGGGGACTGGAGGGTCTTTCAAGGCCGGAGGAAGCTCTTAGTCCGGGGCCCGGCCCGCCTCCCGCCCCCTTCCCCTCCCCCGTCCTGGAGCAAACTTGGGATTTTCTACCCTCAGGGAGGCCACGGCTGATTCACCCCGGGGGGTTTTGGGGGGACATTCCTGCTGTAGGAAGGCCTCCTCCCCAAAGGCCTGTAGGTGGGGGCTCTTCCGAGTAGAGGGCCCCGGGGTTCTGTCCCGAGAAGCAGCCTCTGAGGCCAAGGGGCCGGAGCGGGTGCTGGGATGGGCACCTCCATTCCCTCTTCCCGAAAATCTCAACAGTCGTTGATTCCCACACCGCACCTGCTTTGGGTGCCCACGTTCCCCCCCACCCCGCCCCTGTCCCATGGCCATATGTAACACATGTATATCACAGGTGTCTTAAGTATGTTTCAGCCCATATGCGCGTTGTGTGCATGGCGTGAACATGCGTGTACAGGTGAGAGTCCTTAAACTTATTAGTGTGGACACATGTCAGCATGTATCTGAGAGCACAGGTGAACCTGTCTTTGAGTTTCTGCGTGAAGGGTGTGTGTCCAGGCACTTGTGCACGGGTGAGTGTGTTTTGCGTATGCATGTGTGTGCGAGTCTGAGTGCATGGACGATCCTGTGCACCTGCGGGCATACGTGTAGCTGGACGTACGGCCCGTGTCTTTGTACAAGGATATCGATGTGTATCCGCGTGTCATGTTCGTATGCGCGCTCTCTGAATGCGCAGATGCCGCTCTTCAGCTCTAGGGCTCGGTCAGCTAAGGACCCTTCTCCCGCCCTTGCCTGTGTCCCACCACCCAGGGGTCTGAACCCGGCCACTCACCGCGGCGGTGGCTCCGGTTCAGGATTCTCTCCCGGCCGGACCCACCTCGGACGGGTCGCGACACCTCTCCCACCACCAGGACTCCAGCCGGGAAAGCCCCTTTTCCGCCCCCGGGAGGGGGGAATTCCCGTGACGTTTCCGTGCGTCACTTGCCATGCCCTTTTTCATTGGCTGAAAGTTTAACTCCTGGACTTACACAACCAATTGGGAGTGACTCAGGGGCGCCCCTTGGAGGAGAAATGTTTGTGCTGCTCTGGAAGCCAGGGTGAGAATGACCCTCAGACTGGCACTAGCTCTGATCTGGGGACCAACCCGCTGCGGGATCCGCTGACCGAGCGCCATTCCCCAGCCGAGGGACCTGGCTCCGGTCTCCTCACACCCAGGCCTCTCCAAGCCGGCTCGCAGCCTCTGCTGCTACTCAGTTTTATGCTGCGCCTAATGCTCGGCGGGGAACCCCAGGGGGAAGCTGATATGTCTCAGCCCTCTGGTCCCCCGCCCGGAGCGGGGCCCAGTTGCCGGGAGGACTTGGAGGAAGAGGAAGGAAGTTGATCTTGCAGTAGGTTCTAGAGTGCCATCTGGTGGCCCCTCTGGAGCCTCAAGGAGACTCCATAATCCTCTCAGTCTTCCCGGGAAGAAAGTGTCTGGACCTGAAACTTGTTCCGTAAATGGCAGGTTAACAGCTGGCCAGACTTTCAGACCTGAGCTCAGGAGGTCTTCCGAGTATAAGGGAAAGGAGGTATTTATCTGGGAGACTCAGGCCTTGCTCATCGATCACGGAAGTTTGGAATATTAGAGTTGAAAAGTAATACAAAATTATTAGTTCAAATGCCTTTGATGTAAGAAATCGCCTTTTTATATAGTTTCCAATGTCCGCTTACTTTAACGATATATATATATATATATGTCTATTTGGCTGAACTGGGTCTTAGTTGAGATCTTTGTTGAGATCTGCTGTTTTCATTGTGTCTAGTTCCCTGACCAGGGATGGAACCTGGGTCCCCTGCATTGGGAGTGTGAAGTCTTAGCCACTGGACCACAGGGAAGTCCCTGCTTAGACACTTCTAGTGACAGCAAGGTCAGTACAGATTTTCACAAAGTACTGTCCTCTGGGGCTGGACATTCCTGGTTGGTAGAATTTCTTTTTAGGAGGTGCCATGAGTAATCTCCGTTTTTGGAGGCGTCCTCCCTTAGGCTCACCATGGTAGAACACTGGCTGTTGTTTCAAATCTTGCCTGCAACTTGCCCCTGACCTTAATAATGGAATTAGAGGCCTGCATAGCTCTGCATAAAGGGAGACTATTGTGGCCCTTGATTTGGGTAATTTCCTGTCCCTTCCCCCTCTTCATCTTGCCTGCAAATTGAATGTGCCAGATACTATGTGAAGATGTGTGTGTGCTCAGTTGCACAGTGATCTCCGACTCTTTGCAACCCCATGGACTATAGCCTGACAGGACTGTACCTCTGTCCATGAAATTTTCCAGGCAAGAATACTGGAGTGGATTGCCATTTCATTCTCCAGAGGATCTTCTCAACCCAGGGACTGAAACAGAGTCTCTTGCATCTCCTGCATTGGCAGATGAGCCACAGGGTAAACTGATAAAGGTAAGACTCAGAGAGGTGAAGTAACACAACCAAATACATGGCTTGAAAGGGACAGAGAGAGAATCACACCCAGTCTCTTAACTCTAGCGTAAAGCTCTTTACCTGAAACTTGTCTAAAGCAAAGCAGGTCTTCCCACCCCATTGTGAGACTTTAGACTTGCGTGGGAGTGGAAAGAGTGGGAGAAATGGTCATATTCTAGATAGATTTGAAAGTCAGGGGCAATAAAACTTGCTGAGGAATTGGGTGTGGGATGTTGGGGAGGGGTGTTGATATAAGAATCTGGAGAAGATGAGGGGTAATTGTACATTAAGTCAGTGTAATGGATGGTATTTGAAGTTTTGACAGTGGTCACCATCACCCCACGATTGAATGTAGAGAAAAGGAGTTGACAAGCACTACACCCTGGGACATTCTGATGCTGAGAAGCTGTGGAGATGAGGAGGAACCAAAAGAGGAAATTGAAAAGACATGGTCGGTGAGGCAGAGGAGAACCAAGAAAAACCTGTGTCTCAGCGAGGTGAAGAGCATTTCACGGAGGGGGTTGTGAACTATTTAGTTGAATTGAAGCTCCTTCTCAGCTGAAGCCTAGGGTTCTTGTTTTCTCACAACCACAGTTTCCCAGTGAGCCCTGAACACAGGTGAATACCCAAGGGCTTGAAAAGCCACATACTTTATTGTTCCTAGCATTTATTGGGGGGGGGGCGGGGTAATGGGGAAGTGTGTGCCCATTATTACTAACTCTGTAATTTGTCCCCTCTGATATCATTCTTTTTTTTTTTTGGCTGCTCCATGGGGCTTGTGGGATCTTAGTTCCCCAAGCAGAGATGGAACCCATGCCCCCTGCAGTAGAAGTGTGGAGTCCTAACCACTGGATCTCCAGGGAAGTTCTGATATCATTCTTATGTGCTCAGAAAATTGACATTTATTCTTGGTTATGTTTGTTTTTTCCTGTTTTTCTAATTATAGTTTCTAAAAAAAATATTATTTGGCTATGTTGGGTCTTAGTTGTGGCATGCAGGATCTTTAGTTATGGCATACAAATTCCTAATTGCAGCATATGGGATCTAGTTCCCTGACCAGGGATCAAACTGGGGTCCCTTGGGAGTGCAGAGTCTCAGCCACTGGGCCACCAGGGAAGTCCCCTTTTATTGATGTATAGTTGATTTACAATGTTGTGTTAGTTTCAAGTATGCAGCAAAGTGATACACACACACACGGAGAAGTAAACAGCAACCCACTCCAGTATCCTTGCCTGGGAAATCCCATGGACAGAGAAGCCTGGTGGGCTGCAGTCCCTGGGGTTACAGAGTCAGACACGACTGAGTGACTGAACAACATACACACACACACATATTTTTTTCAGATTATTTTCCCTTATAGTTTATTACAAGATATTGAATATAGTTGATCTATTTTATATGTAGTAATGTGTATCTGTTATGGGCTTCCCAGGTGGCTCAGTGGTAAAGAATCTGCCTGCCAATGCGGGAGATGTAAGAGACACCAGTTCGATCCCAGTGTTGGGAAAATCCCTTGGAGGAAGAAATGGCAACCCACTTCAATATTCTTGCCTGAAAAATCCCATGGACAGAGGAGCCTGGTGGGCTATATAGTCCACAGGGTCACAAAGAGCTGGACACAACTGAGCACGCATGCACACACACAGTGTGTATCTATTAATCCAAACTCATTTATCCCTGCCCCCCTTTCCCAGTTTTCTAGTGAAGTCTTAGCTCACCATGTAATTATTACTTCGGTACTCGACCTTTTATTTCCGCATGAGAAACTACAGAAAAATGAGTTTCTACACCACCATCACTACTTTTGAACTGGGAAAGTGTCATGGGAAAGACCATGCGGTTTAGAGTGAAACAGACCTGGGTTTGAATCTCAGCTCCCTAACTTCCCAGGAATATGGCCTCTCTGAACCTGCTGCTTCATCTAGGAGAGGAGTTAATATTTCTACAAGGTTGGGTAAGCAGTGCACTTAATATTGACATACACTGGTGTTCCAACAATGTCACTTCTCCTTGTTAGGATCTCAGGTCTCTGGGCTTTTTGAAACCTGCTATCCTAGAGTTCTTATAGGAGACACTGTTAAGACCAGCATTTCCTTCCAGATTATACTATTTTCCCACAAGTTTTGTCACTTCCATATCATTAGCCATTCTTTCTTGGTCAGAATTAAGGCCTAAGTATTAGATCTTCTTGTAGTTTCCTTTGCCTGACAACACTGTTAACAATACAAGTCAGGTTATATATCAGCTGATTTTTCTATACCAGAATAAGACTTTTGACAAGTTTTCCTTTGCTTGCCAGTGGGGTGGGGTTCAGTTTGCAATCACCCCAGCTTCTTTCCTAATATTTCAGACCAAGGGCTACAGACTTTTCATATTCTTTTGTTCACAGGATAGACTTTAGATTTCTATATGTTAGTCTATGTTGTTTCCTTCACATGTTTTCCCCACAGCAGAGCTGTGGGGCTCAGAAGGGAGAACAGAGATGTTAGAGTCAAAGCCAATGGCCCAAGTGTCTACCTGATTGTAGATCCAGGCTTTTCTGCACCCATACGGAAAAAAGGTGAGGCGTTCAGTCTTACTCATAATTTTCCCAGGGGCAAGGTTTCAGGTTAGTGTGGAAAGCAGGCATGGTCTGGATTATTTGCAGAAGGAAGGGAAGTGGGAGAAACTAGTGTAGGAGCTGCTGGACTCCTGTTAATATTGTTCCACATCCGGTTGTTTCCATTTCCACAGCGGTGCACCCAAGGGAGGCACTGACAGACATCCAGACCCATCCACGTGGTTGTGCTGAGCAAAGGGGAGCCTGAGAGGCTGAATGATCACAGAGACAGCTGGGCCCAATGAAGAGGTGAGCACCCTTAAGTGTCCAGGAGGGAGGCCCACTGGTACTACTCTCCGCCCTTTGGTGGAAGGGACTATGGTGGAGGAGGAAGTCAAGATGATGGGAGATGCTTCACTTGGGAAGGCTTAATAGCATTCTGCATCCCACCCACAGTAGCTCAGCCCTGCAGAAGCCATGCTGCCTGCCCCACGCACACTCCCTCTTGTCTTATCCTGATGCAAAGGGAAAAAAGGGAAGGATTTCTCCAATCACACTTCAGTGACTGGACTGTTTGGAGGCTATGGGATGGGAAAAATATTCCCCTGCTCAGTTATGGGCCAGAATGAATGCCGTGTCCAGAAACACAAGCTCACAGCTGTGGGCAAGGCAGCCTCCCACCCCCAAGACCCATGGACTCCTTGTGTGGCTGGACTGTGAGGCACACCTGAGGGAAGCCTTTTAAGTAATGACAGCTCAGCCTTGGCTCACCTGCCCTTTGACCCCAGCCTGGGTTATCACAGTTATCTCCACTGGAGCAGTTACGGAAGAGAACTGTCAACCCCTGGCACATCCCTGGTGATAAGGAAGCACTGCTCTGATGGTGGTGGTAGTGGTGGTGGGGTGGCAGCAGCACGACCATGGTTGGTAGGCTCGGCCTCATTTCTGTTCATGTGAGGGCCTACGTATCCCAAAACATGGTACCCACAAGCTCAAGAAGGAAACCAGAGGAAAAGGCCATGATGTTGGTACTAAGACATTTATTACATCATAAAAAGTCCATTGTTTTCCTGTTTTTCCATATGTACATGCTCCTGTGGGCAGTCCTTCTTTCCAGTCCCACCTGCCCACACTCTATGGCGCAAATCAACTCTCCAAACTGACCAACTAATTAATAAAAGAGGAAAAACTAGAGGTGGTGGTCCAGGGCTAGTGGGATTGGGGCTGGGAGAGGGAAACAAAGTGCAGAGTGGTTGACTTGGCTCTTGATGCCTGACACAGGCAGGAGGGGCACAAAGGCAGGCACTGCAGGGCTGGTACAGTGATGCCTCCCTCCCCAGAGCTGCCAGGCTGCAAGTGATACCTGAGTGTGCTCTCAGGTTGGACTCCCAGGAATGGAGAGCGGAGGAGGAAGGTCCCACAGACTAACTGTGGGTCCTAGGAGGGGCCATAAAAGTTCTATTTCCCGTCCCCATCCAAAAAGCAGTGACAGCCACTTGGCGTGGGACTGAAGAGTCTGTGGCCCTTGGTACAGCTGAGAGGGGGGCCAGGGACAGCCTGCTAGGAAGTACTGGTCCTGATAGCTGAGGGGCCTGCCTTAGTTGACCTCGGAGGTGGGCATGGGGTCTGTGGGGCGAGGTGTGGCCAGGAGGGGCACAGGTGAGGTGGCCTCAATGAGAGCGGGATTGAGGATGATGGGCAGAGTCATGGGGGGCACGCCCACCTGCAGTGGGGAGGCCAAGGGCTGCAGGATCAGTGGGGACTGAGCCAGTGGTGGAGGCCCATCTGGGGTAGGGCTCAGCCTGCTGGGGCTGGACGCCACTGGTGATCCAGAAGAACTGCTGTTAGCCGGTCGGGGGCCCTCAGGCTTCTCAAAGTCTAGAGGAAAGCAAGGTGGCTGCAGTCAAACTCCCTTACAGTCCGCAGCTGGTTTACCACACTTCTGCTCCTCCCCATTCCTGTGAGAAAATGACTCCTCCCAGTCTACATAGTTGAGATTCTCTGCTTGAAACTTATTCCAGTGTCCAGTTCCCTCATACCTACCCACTCCCCCCACTGTTGTACCTCCAGTCAGATTAATTTTGGTCTGCTTTTTACTAGCATCCCTGAAGGGCACCTCTGCCTCTTCATCCCAAGTTCCCAATCCAGCCTTCTTCTCTGAAGCCTAGAAATCCCAGGCAGCTAGCTCATCAGACCTAGCCCTGCAATCGCCCATGGGAAGAGCAAGTGAGCAGGAATCCTGTGGTTTCTTCCTTCCCCTGGCTCACTGCCCGTGCTCAGCAGCAGTCATAAAGTACTCTGGGCCTCCTCTTAGGCCTTGACATCCAGCAAGCTCACTCAGAGGGACTCACCACAGGTCCCCAGCTCAGAGGGCATTTCTGGGGGAGGTGGATGGCCAGGTGTCCTAGTGTCACCAGCAGCAGGAGTCAGGTGTGCTGAGGCCAGCGGTTTTGGGGCATGAGGCTCCATGGGCACAGGGTCTGGGGAGGGTAGAGAGTCCAGATGGCAGCTCTCAGTGCTTCCTCTCAAGTAGAGTCTTGGTTACCTACTAGACTTCCCACCTAACCCAGAGCACAGAGAACTAGTTATTAGCTCCAGGCCCTCTCTGATGAAGTTGGTTGGAGCCCCCTACCCTGGATGACAGTCTGCTTGAAGAGCTCATCTCGCAGGTGGGGCAGGAAACAGTCTATGCGCTCCCAGGTGATCTCCCAGAGGGCTGAGGGGCTGCCTCCTCGGGCATCTGCACTGTGGAAAATCTCTGCTGTGTCCATCACCAGGAGCATGTTCTTCAGAGACTCTGGAATGGCTTCTGACTGCAGATGGCATTGGGACCATAAGAATGGGAAAAGGGACATGGGGGAATATGGTAAGGAGGAGATAGCCACCAAGGGGGAAACAGCAAGTCTTCCCAGAAGTTAGGAGAGGACATAGGCAGCGGCGCTGGCCTGAGGCAGAACGTACCAGTAAGTCACTGGAGCCTGCATGCATGTACTTGTCCATGAAGTCCAGGATGGTCAGCCAGAGGGCCGCAAAGGTGGACAGCGACAGAAGTGGAGACAGGTGCTGCAGAAAGACCTATGGCCCCCAGCCCCTTTCAGCTGAGAGGAGGGTAGGAGCCTTCTGCACCACTCTCCATGGGTAGGAGGCAAGACTTCTCTATCTTTCATGGGAATCCTGGATCAGAGACTCCTCTGAATTCCAAAATCCTCCTGGGTCTTGCTGAGTCTCTACAGCTGGGGGTCATAAGCGCCTACACTACATCTCTTGGTCCTCCTAGGCTGCTGAAGTGGCAGGTGTGGAGACAGTGGGTGGGAGTAGGGTGGTGACAGTACCTTAGAGAGCAGAGTAGAAGCCCTCATCCGGGTCTCCTCCATCCCACCCACATCTGCAGGGCTGATGTTCTCCAAGAGCTTGGTCAGTAGAGGAAACAGCACCTGGAGGGTAAACAGTCAACATTTCTCCAGAGGGGTCAGGTGGAAGCCTTGCCGACCTGACCGTGGGTTGGGGAGGGTGGGAACAGAGCAGGAGGGAAGGTATAATCGACTGAGGATTGACATTAGCAGCTCTTCAGGCTGCCAGGGGATCCCTGTCTTTAGGATTTTCCCTTTACCTTAAGACCAGAGAGAAGGCCTACCTTGTTAAAACAGGATTCCCATTCCAGAGCATCTAACTTCTGCAGATCATGTACCAGCAGTGCTCGCTGCAGATAGGTCAGTGCCTGCATCCTCACCTGCCGCCGGGCATCACAGCATAGGCAGGCAATGCCTGAGAACAAGAACAGGCTCAGATCCTTCAGGTATCCAGATCTCAGTACTTCCTAAGCACCAGCTCCACCTCTGCCCCCGCTCCCCCAGAGGTTTACCCTGCAGTAAAGGGCACCAGCAGTGAGCCCAGAGGGTACGTGAATCAGCTTCAATCTTCCGGCCGCCTGTCTCCAGGTGGCGCTGCTCCTCTGCCCATGAGCTGTAGATGGAGGCTGCCCTTGTGTGCAGAGTGTGCATCAGATCTAGCAACTGGGATCACAGGAGGGGCAGGACATAAATGGGGTTACGTCTGCTGGACCCCCTCCTCAACAGCCCACTCCCACTGTCCCTGACTTGAGTCCTCAAGGGAGCCCCTAGTACTGATCGCACCACACTCCTCTCACCACTCTCTTCAACTTTGTGAGCTGGGTGTCCTAGTCCTGACCAGTGTTTTCCAAAGGTAGGTATTATTCCCAGTAGCAGCAACTTGAGGTGTGTGCACTAAGAATTTAATAACACAATTACACAGTGAGAAAGGCACGTTCTTTTCACCTCTCTTTTACCCTTTCTGATGATGGATAAAGCCTCATATTCGTTAATCTCATTTTAAAAATGGTAAATCTCAGGCTCAGAGGCTTTGACAGGCAGTAGTGTTTGGACAGATGTAATTTTTGTTTTCATCATTTTTCTAAGGTGATTCTATTTAAAGCAATTAGTTCTCTATTTATTTAGTGATATAAAGTCTGCTCATAAAATAAACTTTGTACGTTTTGAATAGACAACAGAATAACCAGAAAGATAAACAAAAACTGGTGGCAGTGGTTCCCTCTGGTAAGAATTTAGCAGCCAGGGACAGGAATGGCATGCGACTTTTATCTGTTTACCCTTTTGTACCTTTTGAACTTTGTACTATGTGCATTAGAATTATTTATTTAAAAAATAAACTATAATAAATGAAGACTTACAAGTAGTCCAGGATAGGGAAACACTGGGGGTGCTAGCCGAGGACTTGGGCTGGAAAACAGGCCCTTCCTCTTAGCCCTGGCTGTCCCCGGGCCCACCAAGACTCCCGATGTCAGGTACAGGGAGAGGAGAGGAAGTAAAGGGTGCCATACTTACGTCCTGACTGACCTGTAAAGACACCGTATGGTAGCTGGCCGGCACACCTTCATCCTCATCGTCGTCACTGTGCCCACCCCGAGTGGCATGTTGGCTGGAGGTTCGAGGCCGCCGAAGCATTGAGCCTTCCTTGGATTTTTTCTTGAAGCGGTTCCCTTTGCTGTCATATTTGTGACTCTTGCCACGTTTCTCCTGGGACTTGCACCCTGAGCAGGGCCAGACCCAGATCACATTTCACATCTATGGGCAGAGATAGCCTGCCTTTCCCCACCTTTGCCCCTTTGTAATTCACATGGCTACTCCCCAACTGCCCCTTCATCAGGTGACCCACCGCCATTTAGACTGGCCTCCACAAAGATGCGGAGAGTCTTGACACAGAGCTCAAAGTTGTCAGGTGTGATGTGGGCAGCGTCACGCACGATGAAGGACAGTGACTCCACACACTTGAGCAGGGACTTGGTATCATGTGGCCCAAGGTCCAGCCCCACTGTTAGGCTGTATTGATTGACCAGGGGTGAAGGACCTGGCTGGCTGGGCCCAGGCCCTGGCTTGGAGTTATCGATGTCATCTTTCCCCACCTGTTGGGTACAGAAGAGCTCAGAATGCAGGATTCACCTCGATCGTCCCCTAGATGCCCTCTCAAAGACCAGGAATCTTTTCCACAGGCCAGGCAGGGAAGACTCATCCGCTGCACATATGCTCACTCACCACTAACCAACCGCTGTTGACCACATCAGCATCTGTGGCTGATCGATGAATCTTGCCAGGTCTGCCATGGTCAGTGTAGACCTCTGAGTCAGAAGTGTACCCCCGGTCCAGGCTCACATCATTTTGATGGTAGGATGGGAGTTCACTATCTGACTGGGCCCCTGAGACAGCAGGGAAAGGGGCAGAGTCAGGGTGGTGATGGGGATGTTGGGATGAGGGATAATTTCAGTTATCAGAAGAAAGATGCTGAAGCCTGGTCTCTCTTTTCTCTGGGTCTAGATTAGTTTCAGCTCTGTCACCAGAGGGCTGAAGGATGGCCTGGAGAGCTGCTCTCTTGACCAAATGGGGCAGCAGGCTGATTTGGGCTCTGGATGGCATCTAGTAGCAGCTGTTGGGGAGGAGATGGCCGTGAGGACAGTTTCTGAGGAAATAGTCCTCAGGACAGTAGGAAGCTGGCTCATAGCCTTTTCCACTGCCTGCTTGCCTTTATGCTGTTAGTCTGTGAGTACTGGTGAGAGGCCAGTGGGCACAGGAAGCCCTGAAGCAGATGGCAGAGCCAAGGGTATTTAATCTGATGAACACAACAACCTGCGTTTTGTTTTCCTGTCTCAGCCACTGGGGCCATGACTGTTTATCTGCCACTGCGGATCTCCCTGGGAAAGGGCTTACCAGCATCAGGTGCGTCGGCACTGGCTGTGGCCTGCAGGGCAGCTGGAGGCTTTACACCCGAGCCAATGCACTCCAGCAGTGTGAAGAGGGTGGCCCAGTCATCGCCTGAGTGGATATTGGCTGCGTTGGTCTTAAGGAGTTCATGGAGCCCATAGGCTACCTGGTGACTGACTCGGGATAACACGCTGGGCTTCATTAGTAACAAAATGCGCAGGGAGAGCAGTACCTGGGGCAGGAGTAGAGAGCAGGAAGTAGAAAGTGGGCACACAGTATCTTGTCTAGCCTCTTTCCCCAGCAGTCTCCTTAGGCCAGTGAGGATGGTTCGGCTAAGACCCAACTTAGGGTACTCTGTAGACAGATGGCCCAGGGGCTAGGGATGGGGGCAAGAAAGAGGCAAGTTATAAAAGGGCAACACAAGGGATCCTGTGGTGGTGGAACTATTCAGCATCTTTGCTAGTGGTGGAAACACAAATCTACACAAGTGATTAAATTGCGTAGAACTTAATACACATATGAGTACAACCAAAACTGGGGAAATCTGGTAAGATTAGTAAACTATATCAATGTCAGTATCCTGTTAGGATACTATACTATCGTTTTACATAATGTTACCATTGGGGTAAAATGGGGAATGTGTACAGACAACCCCCAACTTATGATGATTTGGCATAGATTTTTTTGGACTTTACAGTGGTACAAAAGCAATACACATTCAGTAGAAACCATACTTAAGAGTTTTAATTTTTTCCAGGGCTACTGATGTGCATGTAGTACAATACTCTCTTGCAGTGTCAGTGTCAGGGTGCCACCGGTCCCAGTCAGACATGCCATCATAAAGGTGAACAACTGATGCACTTACAACCATTTTGTTTGCCACTTTCAGTACAGCATCTAATAAATTACCTGATATCCAACACTTTATTATAAAAGACTACATATGAATCTATAGTTATCAATATAACTATATTGATATATAGTTATATAGATATCTATAACTGTTAAATCAATATTAAAAGTTTTAAAAAACTGAAAAAAAGAAAAGATTAGTAACATTATGCAAAACTATAGTATTATCCTAACCAGGATACTGACATTGATAGAATTCTCTAATCTTATTCAGATTTCCCCAGTTTTACTTATATGTATATTAAGTTCTACACAATTTAGTTAAATTTAACTTGTGGAGGTTTGTGTTTCCACCATGAGCCAAGATGCTGAATAGCTTCAGCACCACAGGATCCCTCGTGTTGTTATTTTATAACCACACTTGCCTCTTTCTTGGGCTTCCCTGATAGCTCAGCTGGTAAAGAATCCGTCTGCAAATGCAGGAGACCCCAGTTCAATTCCTGGGTTGGGAAGATCCCCTGGAGAAGGGATAGGTTACCCACTCCAGGGTTGTTGGGCTTCCCTTGTGGCTTAGCTGATAAAGAATCCATTTGCAATGCGGGAGACCTGGGTTCGATCCCTGGGTTGGGAAGATCCCCTGGAGAAGGGAAAGGCTACCCACTCCAGTATTCTGGCCTGGAGAATTCCATAAACTCTTTCTTGCCCCGATCCCTAGCCCCTGGTCATCTGTCCACAACTTTTAAAACTCTGTCAATCAAAAATGTCATATAAATGGAATTATACAGTATATAACCTTTTGGGATTGGCTTTTTTCATTTAGCATAATTCTTTGGAGAACCATCCAAGGAATTATGTATCAATAGTTTGTTGCTTTTAGTTGCTGAATAGTATTCCATGGTATGCATATACTACACTTTATGTTGAAAACCATCTGGACTGATTCTAGTTTTGGCTACTACAAATAAAGCTTCTGTGAACATTCACGCACAGGTTTTTATAAAAGTACGCTTTCATTTCTCTAGGATAAGCACCCAAGAGCACACTTGCTGGACTGTGTTGTAACTGCATGTTTAGTTTGATAAGAAACGACTCTATTGTTTTACCTTCCCACCAGCACTTTATGAGAGACCCACATCCTTGTCTGCATTTGGTATTATCACTATTTTTCACTTTAGCCATTCTGACAGGTGTGCAGTGGTATTTCACTGTGGTTTTGTGTTTCCCTGTTGGCTAATGATTTGAACATCACTTAAATCTTTTTCATGTGCTTATCTTCCATCTGTGTATCTTTTTCATATCTTTCACTCATTTTCTAATTTTTTTTTATTATTATGTTTTGAGTTCTTTTACATTTTAGATATTATTTTTTTTTCAGGTATTTGATTGAAAACAAACACTCCTTGTCTTTATATCCTTTCCACATTGGGCTCTCATAGAGCAGAATTTTTCATATTGATGAGTCTAATTTATCAGTTTTTCCTTTTATGGATTGTATTTTTGGTGTCAAGTCTAAGAACTCTTGGCCTAGCTCCCAAAGATATCCTCGTGTATTTCTTTCTAAAGGTTTCAGAGTTTTACATTTTACATTTAAATCTATGGTTCATTTTGAGTTAACTTTTCTATAAGGTATGAGGCTTAGGTCTAGGTTCACCCCCAACCATGGATTTCAATTGCTCCCGCAATTAAAAAGGCTATCCTTTCTATACTGAATTGTTTTTGTACCTTTGTCAAAAAATTAGTTAGGTTTCTTTGTGTGGGTCTATTTCTGGCTTCTCTTGTTACATTGATCCATGTGTCTGTCCCTCCAAAAATACCACAGTGTTGATTACTGTAGCTGTATAATAAGCCTTAATATCAGATGGAGTGACCCTTCCCACCTTTTTTCTCAAAATGTTTTTTGGCTATTCTAGGGCCTGTGCTTTTCCATGTAAATCTTAGAATAAGCTTGTTTATGTCTACAAAAAAACCTTGCTGGGATTTTCATAGGAGTTACATTAAACTAATAGATCAATTAAGGGAGAAATGATGTCCTTACTACATTGACTCTTTCAATCCATGCATATGCTATGTCTCATTTATATGGGTCTTCTTTAATATCTTTCATCAGCATTTTGTAATTTTCAGCATAGAGAGTATATACATGTTTTATTAGGTCTATAGCTAAGTATTTGATTTCATTTCGAACATCTGAAATAGTTTCATTTTCTATATGATCATTGTATTAAAAAATGTGATTAATTTTTGTGTATTGATCTTATATCTCCTGATCTTGCAGAACTCAATTATTATTTCTATGCTGGTTGTCTTTTTATAAATTGGGCAAAGGTCCTAAAATTGAGAACTAGGAAATCAGGTACAGGGTTGGCACTGCCACAAGGCAGTAGCCGTCCAACCCTACTGAGCACAGACGCTGAGTATCAGGCTTCATGCCTGAGGCCATTCCAGACTCACTTCCAATGCCACCTGTTAAGACTCCCCCCAGCCCTGTGTAGATCACTGGGCTCACGCTATAGGGCATTAAATGAGCTCTCTGTTTCAGGCCATATCCACACCTAATACTGTGGTTCTACCCCTTACATACCCTTCTGCCCTCCCAGCTGCACTCTGCTTACCTGGCCACTGATCTCTTCTCTCCGGAGTAACCGAATGGCTAGGCGCAGCAGCCCCACCACTGCCCGCTCCACAAGGAAGCAGAAGTCCTGGGCCTGGACACATAGGTGGTATAGATGGTCTCGAACAGTCTGCCACACACAGCCAACACGGTCCCTGAGAAACATAAGGGATGAGGACAGTCTCAGCTGAAGAGGCCAGTAGGCAATAAGCCTTCTTTTCTGATTGAAGCTAGGCCCTTCAAGGCAGGTCTAATGAGCAAGCTTCTCCTCCACTGCCTGCAGCTTCCTGTGCTTCTTGTCCCTAGAGTCCACCCTGCAAGATGAGTCCAGGCTTCTATCCCTTTGGTACAAGGCCAGTATGAGGCCTGCCTAAAGACTGCCTGCTACCTGTTCTCTAGCACAATCCTCAGCAGCATTTCCAGGCAGAAAGCAGCATCCTCTTCATCATAGGTCTCTTCATCTGGTGTCACTGAGACCAGAGCCTGGAGGAGAATAATTGTAGGAAAGTAGGCATGGAGAAGAAGCCAGTCAATAGCCCAGCCCTGACAGTGACTGAGGCATACATCTCTGTCTCCCCTCCCAGACCCAGCCAGCCCTTTCCTCTTCACTCTGTACCTTCATGAGCTCCTGCAGTGACTCCAGCTGGAGGAATTTGCTTTCTGTGATCATCTTTTCTGGGTCACATTGCTAGAGGGGCACAAGGGTTAATGATAAGGACTAGAGGGAAGAGAATGTTCCCAAGAAGCTAGGAAGAGAAGGCAGAAAGAGTCAGCTCTGGTCACAAACTCTAGTGATCCTAGTCTTCAGTTCATATAGCAGTGTTTTATCTTGTAGAGAAGGGTCTAGGCTTGCTCACCAGGGGTGAGAAGGGTCAGTTACCTTGATACAGTCCAAAGCCATTCTCTTGGCCTCTTGGTTCTCAGTGGATGGGCCCCGCACACTAGACTGCTCAGTACCACTTAGTGTCAGCCAGCTCACAAAGCTCAGCACTGTTGACTCTCCTCTGGAGAAAGAGGGTACAAGCTCTAGTGAGCTCTAAAGTTCTAATCCTCCCTCCCCTAAGTCTCTAGCCTCTGATCTGCCCTCACCGGTTCGATGGTGTCTCTTCCCGCTGTAAAGAGATCTTGCCATTGGGATCCACAAAGTCTTCTACCTGGAAAATCAGGTCAAGAATAATTTCTTTCCACATGCCTTTTGCATTTCCTAGTCCTCTGAGTAAAGTTTTCTGGCTTTCTTCCTGTTGCCCTCTGCCTTCCACAACTGACAGGGTCCCCTCCAACTGGTGACTGACAATGACTTCTACCAGCCTTCCTTCATAGCTATCCCCTTGGCTGAAGATCTGTGGTCTTACATTCGAGGCGTTCCTGGTAAGTTTCAACATGCATCAGGCCCAGTGCTATTCTCAACCATTTCTAAAAACAGTACATAATCTTGGAGCTCTTGCCTCGTTATTATCGATTAGTCTCCTACCAAGAATTACCTCTACCATAGCCTTGGGTAGCAGTTGGGCTCGGAAGAGTTGCAACATGGCCTCCATGATATTCTTCCAGCCCTCTCGCAGGATGTCACCGTGACGGTGGGCCAAATGGAACACCGTCTTGGCTGCAATGTGGGCCTTAGGGTTGCTTCCAAACACAGTGGGCAGGTTCTCAATAGACTGGAAAAGAAGATGAAAAGAGGCTTAGAGCCTGGCAAATAAATTGAAAGGGTTCTCTTTGGCCTGTACCTATGGTTCCTAAGAGTCCTTCTGCTATTTCTGCTTCAATCCCCCATAATGTTGGTGAGAAGGGCTAATCTGGCTAAGGCCTTCTCCACTACTGTGTCTCTTCTCTCATCCCCATTGAAGTAATGCTATTCTTTTTTTTTTTTTTATATGAAGTAATGCTATTCTCATCGCAGGGTATGTCAGACAGAAATGGCCTAAGCTCTTCTGTAGTCTGGCTGAGTGAGAAAGTATGCTGAAGGGAATCAGCTCCACAGATAAGGGTAGATCTATGGCAAAGGGAGAGAGGTCTTCCTTTGGAATGCCAAGAACACAGTTCCTGTCACTGCTCACCTCACTGCTGAGAGCTGTGAATTTGCATAGAGAGATGATGAGATTGTCAAACACATCACTGAGGCCATAGTGGGCGGAGATCATGGCGCACTTCCTGTAATGTCACATACCAGATACAGTCACTGAAAGGCCAGGCAGCCCTTCCAAGTCCTCAAGGAGGCTTGCTTGGGATTCTTCCCTAATCAATCTCAGGAAGAAACCTTTTACTCTTGAGTCTGTTTAAGACTGAGCTTTCCCAAGCTTCAGTCTCCCTCCAGAAACTCAGGAGGAACCCCATTCTAAGGAAAATAAGAGTAGGAGTCAGAGAGGCATGGAGGCAATCATGTTAACTCAGAAAGGTGGAAGAAGATTAAGATCAAAGTTAAATCCTGGCTACCTGAAGCCTGAGATGGCTTTTTGGATGATTGTCTCCTCAAGGCTTTTGTCAAAAACATAAGAGAGAGCAGCAATAGTGGGGCCCCAGGTCATGGTGAAGAGGTCAAGATCATAGCTGCCAGCAGGTACACGTAGGAATATGCCCTCTGGGGTGGCACCTCGATGAAGCAGCACATTCCACACATAATTCTCCCGGACCAAGCCTGTCTGCTCTTCAGGCATCACAATTTCCTCATTCCTGTCAGGAGGTAACAAAAGGAATAAGTGCACTGCTCTGAACTGACTGGTTACACCTAGGACAAGGGGCTTTGTCCATAACTAGCACTTCCACCAATGAGATGTCATCAAAACTGCAGCTTCGTGGTCTGCTTCCCTGTCCACCCGCCTCCCTGTCAGGGAGAAAGAAAGGAAGCATCTCATAATCTCCAAGCCCTGTGTCTAAGTGGGCCTTCAGTTCTACAGTAAGATCTCATATTCTTTCTGGGTATGACAGAATGAACAATTCTACTTTTTCTGGTTTACAGTAAAAATCTAAGTGTCCCAAACCTCACCCTCTAGCACTCATTTTGGGTTCTCTACTACCCCCATCCTAACGCATCTTGTGAGCTAGACAGTAAAATCTAACTGCTGTGGATTCAGAAAACAGGGCGATGATGCCCCCTCCACTCAGCAGGGGCAGTTTGAATCCTGCCTCAGGGTTCTTCAGTTGCAGCACTGTTCAGCTTCTTTAAGAAATAAATGAGTTGGGGGAGACGGGGCTGCCCAGCTAAAGTACAAAGCTAAATCCAGGGCATGTGAGTCACTGCAGACTGATGTGACTCCAACATTTGGAAAAGGAAGCAGTGTGCGTCTTCCTTAGCAGAGATGTTACACCATTCTCTACACATACTCACTTGATGGCATGGTACATGTCCTCCAGGATGTCTTGCTCAAAGTCCTTGCCTCCATTCACACCTTTTAGATTTTTGCGAAACTCCTAGAGACAGGGCAGTAAGATTTACCCTACCACATGTCAATGCTGAAGCCCCACTCAAAGAACTCCTGGGTCTGTGGTAAACAGGACTTAGGAAACAGTAAGTCAAAGAATCCACTTCCCTTCCTCAGTTCCTCTTCTGTACTGGCCAGCCCTCCCTGACTCCCTTGGACAAAACCGTGTCCACTGTGCCCACTGGAAATCCCATATCCTCCCTGATACCTCCAAAGCTGTGCTGGAACTGCTCTGCCGCGGCTGGGATTCAATCTTACCTCTAGGGTCATGGGCGCATTCTGTTTGCGAACATTGTGGTTGTGCTGGTCAGTATTAAGCATGATGACAGCATAGGCCAGGGCAAAGCAGGCATCGCTATTGGCAAATGGGGAGCCATTACAATTCTGAAAAAGCAAAGACCCCGCCTATGTCAATGCTCTTCTCTGGCCAATCAAACCCTCACTGCCAACCTATTGATCAATGCTAAGACAGATGGAAGGTATCAGCCAGAAACTGACCCATCTCTTGCCAACTCCTTGATGGAAGTTGGCATCCCCTCTATGGGAAAGCTCACTGATGCTGTTCTCAGCCTTCTTAGGCGACAGAAACTGGGTCTTTCAGTTGAAGACACAGAAACCCTTAGTCAAATTAATTTGGGATGCTGGACTCAGCCCCTGCCACTCAAACTCACCCTCCAATGTTCTGTGAATGCCTCTAGCAACCTCTGTATGACCGGTGCTTCCCCAGGCAAGCGGAAGGCTTCCAGATAGAGCCGGAGAGCTTCATCCAGTCGCAGACCCTGAAAGCTGAAGGTGCTACAGGGAAAGAAAGAAGGATGAAAGACTTGAGATATATAAGTTACAAGTGTTGCGTGATCTATAGCTATAGTCCCCGTAAGCTTCTCATATTGGAACAGAAGAGACTGCTGGCAAAGGGGAGGTATATCCTGGACATCTTTAACACTGAATCAGAATTTGACAGCCACTGCTGGGAGAAATATCAATAACCTCAGATATGCAGATGACACCACCCTTATGGCAGAAAGTGAAGAACAACGAAAGAGCCTCTTGATGAAAGTGAAAGAGGAGAGTGAAAAAGTTGGCTTAAAGCTCAACATTCAGAAAACTAAGATCATGGCATCTGGTCCCATCACTTCATGGCAAATAGATGGAGAAACAGTGGAAACAATGGCTGACTTTATTTTTCTGGGCTCCAAAATCACTGCAGATGGTGACTGCAGCCATGAAGTTTAAAAGACACTCCTTGGAAGGAAAGTTATGACCAATCTAGACAGCATATTAAAAAGCAGAGACATTACTTTGCCAACAAAGGTCCATCTAGTCAAGGCTCTGGTTTTTCCAGTGGTCATGTATGGATGTGAGAGTCGGACTATAAAGAAAGCTGAGCACCGAAGAATTGATGCTTTTGTTTTTTTTTTTTTTCCATTTATTTTTATTAGTTGGAGGCTAATTACTTTACATCATTGCAGTGGTTTTTGTCATACATTGAAATGAATTAGCCATGGATTTACATGTATTCCCCATCCCGGTCCCCCCTCCCACCTCCCTCTCCACCCGATCCCTCTGGGTCTGAATTGATGCTTTTGAACTGTGGTGTTGGAGAAGACTCTTGAGAGTCCCTTGGACTGCAAGGAGAACCAACCAGTCCATCCTCAAGGAGATCAGTCCTGGGTGTTCATTGGAAGGATTGATGTTGAAGCTGAAACTCCAATACTTTGGCCACCTGATGTGAAGAGCTGACTCATTTGAAAAGACCCTGATGCTGGGAAAGATTGAGGGCAGGAGGAAAAGGGGACGACAGAAGATGAGATGGTTGGATGGCATCACCAACTCGATGGACATGGGTTTGGGTAGACTCCAGGAGTTGGTAATGGACAGGGAGGCCTGGCGTGCTGTGGTTCATGGGGTCGCAAAGAGTCGGACACGACTAAGTGACTGAACTGAACTGAACTGAACCTTAGTACTTTTCATATCAGTGTGCTCCTGCCTAGGAATTTTATTCTGGAACCCAGAACCTTCCCTGTGCTCAGGAACCCTGCTCCACCCCTTTGCAATGTTCTCTTTGTAGAGTGGATTGGCCCCTTCAGCTTTTTTGCTGGAGACTCTTTTAAACTCAACAGATATAAATCTTGGGAAGAGGAAGAGCGTGTGACCTGGGTTACCAGGAGGAACTGACTGGTACTGTTTTGAACTGTCTGTCCCCCAACTACACGTTTCTTACAGTTTCCTCACCTCACAAAGCTCTCCAGCAAGTCAATGTTTTTGCGGTCACTCACAAACTCTCCAATCATTTTCTTGTCCAGTCGAGGGTTCTCTCGCAGCCACTGGGCTACCTCTGTGTTATCCATTGGGATGGTAAGGAGACCTTTCTCCTGCAAAAACTGGATCCCCTTTTTTGGTTTCTGGTTGAACTGCTCTGTGCCAGTGATCAGCAGCTGAAGGAGAAATACAGGAGGTGTCAAAAGCTGCTCTGCCCCTAAACCAGACAAGACCAGGCCTCCATCAGGGTCCACAGCTGGTCACCTAATGGATTCTTAGGACAAAGCTCACTCCAGAACTAAGGCTGAATCATATTGGCCCTTAGATTTCCCCAATCTCCATTGTTTATGCAGAACTGGCTGAGGTACTCCTTCCTACTCCTTTTCTGAGTGCTAAAAATGCAGAGCACTCTCCTCCAACCTGAGAATCAGGGGAAAAAAGTAGAAGAAAGAGACTAGAGAAGGTTTTCTTTTCAGTTTTACAGCCATCCCTAGTATCTGTTTACAAACTAACTGATTCTAGTCTTTCTTTACAGATTCCCCTTCCTTTGGGTTCCTAGCTCTTAAGCCTTGGAGTTTGAAAGACAAGGCAAACTAACTGTGATGATAACTTTTTGACTGTCTATTCACAGTTCTGCAATCAAGGGCACACATAAACCAAAGTCATATAGGCTGGCCTTAAGATGAAGAAGGGTTAAATAGGTTTTCTTTGTGTTAAAAAAACCACAAAGCACAGTTATTTGAACTTTACTAAAAGCATCAGAATAAATGTCAATTCCCTTTTATTGCCAATGACCACCCCAAAGCCCCAGATGACCAATAACCTTCAGTGACCCACAGGATACCAGTTCCCCAGGACTCCTGTCACCACAAGTAACACTTGACTCTCAGTGAGGGCAGCATTTTCCCAGGAGCACACAATAGGTGGTCTTGATTACATGGCTTAGGAGTAAGGAAAGGGCTACAAAGGAGACTGGGGGGGCTGCTGAAGTCCCAACAAACACAAAAATTAGCTGGAGGAAACTGGTCAGTGATCTGAAACTCTCCCTTGTTCTCTGAGACAGAACCCCACAGAGACCACCCAGTCAGAGCAGGTAGAGGTTGAGCTCTGGGGATATCTATATGTACCTTCTTTTTGTTTTTAATTTCAGTCAACTCCCGTGGATCTGGCAGGAGACAGGAAAATCGAGGTGGCTTCTGGGTAAACTTTTTGTCAGCTAGGAATGGGAGGGAAAGAGGGAAACACTAGTAAGACCTCTTTTACCAGGATAATGACTTTTAGAAGGATGCTGATAAACCCTCTAGTGAAAAGAAAGCCTCAGAAAGTTTCTTGTGCTTATCAGTCTTTCACATCCCTAGAAGTCCTATTTTCTAGGGTTCCCAATGTTCTCCTTCCTCTGTCTAGGTCTGGAGCCAAGGTGAGTGGCCAAGTTCATTTGGGTACTGCCCTCAGGGGTTTCTGCTACCATCCCCTCTGTTCTCCAACAGGCCTTCCAGCTGAGGTGGCTGAGGAAGATGGACACCCAGTACACACCCCCAGAGTCACCAGCTTCCTCCAGATCACTGCATCCTGGTTTCCCATGTTCTGCTGGCAGCCGCCCTCCACCTGGCAGATTCAGGCCTGCGATGTCTGGGGCCATGCCTGTAGCCTTCCCATCACTGGCTGCTCTCTCGGCTGGTAAGAGAGAAGAAGCTAAGTGAAGACTGGTGCTGTAGGAAGCCAAGAAGAGCTTCAGGAGAATCGAGTCTCAGGCAAAGGAGAGCTGCATGTTCCCACACAGGTCACCAGTCCTGACAGGATAAACCCAAACCCAAATAAGTATTCACTATCCGACATGAGTTAAGCATTAGATTCTATAGTTTAATAAAGAGATTACTGAGTCACTTTCCTTGATCTTCTGCACCTCAATCTCAAGGAAAAGTTAGAGAAGATCAATTAGAGTTGAGGCAGTTACTGGTAGTAGGAAAGGAAAGGAGAAGTAGGAAAAGCTTCCTTAAAGCCTGGAACTTTAAGGAACCTAAGTCCTATATCCTTTAATCTAAATTCTCTTTTCTCCCCATAAAGAAATAAAAATTCAGTAAAATAGACAAAGTATGGAAGAGGAGAAAGGGAGAAGTCCATGAGTACTGTTAATGTGCCAGGCTGGTCTATGATTCACATCACCAAATCTTAGAAACACAGAATTAGGAATACTTCAGAGAAAGTAATGGAAGTGTAGGAGAAAGGATTCAGTGAGTAGAGAAGGGATAAACATAGACTCCCAGGATCCTCAAAGAAAGAAATTCCTCTCACTATTGTTGGCTTCTCGAGTGCCATCTACTGCCTCATAGCCAGGTCTGGCGGCCTCTTTCCTTTCTTGCTGGAGAAGGTTGTTGAGGACTTTGGCCTGGCAGTGGGCCTCAGTGCTGTCAATCACTGTCAACAGGGCATCAAGAGACAGCAGGTGTGTTGTATACAGTTGACCAGACACAGGGAAGGCATTCTGGAAAGTAAACAGATCCAGTAGACTTGAGGTTAGAATATTTCTCCAAAAATCCTAAAACTGCCCATAACTTTTACAAAATTTTACATGCCCATAAATTTTACATTAACATTGAGAAAATGCCCTTCCTATTATTCCCCAACTCTCAAGTGTTTCATTCCCTATATGTAGTATCCTCACTACCACCAAGGAGATTTCCTTTTCTTTCTAGACACCAGGAACAATGCTCAGCACCTTGGACAGCAGCTTGGTGAGATCTTCAAAGAGGTTGGAACAGTAGTAGTCACAATCATAGTTGATATAGAGCTCAGTGACAAAGCTGGGGATGTGCCAGAGCTGCACAATAGCCTCCAGGGCCATCTCCTTCATCTCATAAGGCATCTTGGGGTTCTCCACAGTGATGATCTCCATGAGCTTTTTGATGTACATCTGACAATAATCCAGTAATTGCCATTTGGATGGAGAAAGGGTTCAAGAAGAGGCAAATTAGACAGGAAGCAAATGCTAGCCAGGAAGCATGCATTAAGAGACAATGGTATTCCATACGTAAAGACATTCCCCTCTTTGCCATTCATGACAGGGGTGGGCTGGTTCTCTACTTCGTGCCTGATCCAAAACAAGTTGCCTATTGCCCTTTTTGTGCTCTCTCTGTGAGCCTGATCTGGTCCTATTCAGGGTTCCTTTTTGCAATTTTCTGGTGAATTCAGCTTGACCTGTCTGCTTGTGTTGCAAAAGAACTACAGGCAAAAGAGTTGTACCCACTCACAGTGAGGTTACTTGCCAATTCTCACATTTGGGTTCTCCCATTTTAAAGCCAGGCAGATTTCTCTGGGCTCCTTTCAATTTGTCCATGAGAGAGGTTAGCCAGTGAACCAAACTATGGAGGTTAAAAGCACTCTCCTCAGATGCCACTAAACCCCACCCCTGCAGCATGACAAAGCTGATCCAAATGAAGGTGGATGAATGAAATAGGATCTTCCTATTTTTTTTTCCCCCTTCTTTTTCCAAGTTCAAGAAACTCACCTCTAATTGGAACTTGAGATGCTCCCTCATGCTCTCAAAGAGTAGGAAGCATACCCGGAGGGAAGCAGCATAAAGGTTCAGTCGCTCTACGCTGAGTAGCTGGAGATCACAGTAGGACGGGCCATTAGGTTTCTAAACCTGACTTTGGCTCAACCAAGAGAAAAGCAGGAGAGCAAACTGTGGGAAGTTGCCACCAAGGGAACTCTATATCTGTGCTCTGAGGGAACTCTGTATCCAGCCTTTCCTATGTTTCCCCTTGGTTGCCAGCATTCCCGGGGAATTAATGGAGGCCTCTTGACTATGACTAGTGGTCAGTAGAGGAGGTAGGTTCTTTCCTGGGTCCTATACTCTTCATACAAATCAGCCAAACCTCCCTGTGTCCCTGACCCTTAAGAGACCCTGAAAAAAAGCCAGGGGCTTGGTGCCCCTCTAGAAATCCAATCTTACCTGGAATAAGTGGCGGCACATCTCATCCTTGATGAGGCCCAAAAGGGTTTGGCACTGGGCTATGGGGGCGGACTCAAGAGCCACTGTGAGCAGATGCAGTCCCATGTGGATCATAACCTCTGAGTTGTGGCGGTCATGTGGGTTGGTGAGGGAGATGAGAAAGCGGAAGAGCTCACGGATGCAGGGAAGACCATAGGGGACCAAAGCTGTGCCTGGGAAAGGCCAGGAGGGAAGTGGGGCTGCTAAGAAACAACTGGCTCAATCACAGGACTAACCTGCCCTGTATTATACAGGCAATTTCAGATAAGTGATTCTCTTCCGAAAAAATAAAAAACAAGCAAGTTTTTTTCCAGGGCAGTAGGGAGACTAGTCTCACTTACTGAAGGGAATCAGAATTGATGAGTCCACCTTTCTGTTAGAAGTCTCAAGCTTCTATTCTTCCCTTTCACTTCCTGTTGTTAACCAAACTCCCTCTCTGTGTAAGCTAGGGAAGAGCGCCATCCAACAGTCCTCTGGCTTGATTCCATTTCCTCACTAGAAAATGGCCTAGAACATTGCCAGAAGACACCCTGGATCTAGGATGGTTTAGGGTCAGACAACTTAGTGGATCGGATAGGGCAAGAGCCTGTCTGGGAGTACTCACCTTCTTTCTGAGAGGACTGTGTAAAACGCACGCCCCGGGGGTTGACATAATCCATGTCGTGGACAGAGGCAGAGTCAGAGTGGTCAGCAGGGGATGTGCATTCCTCTAACACTTCAGGGATGGATTCCACAGATGTTGACTGGGCCTTTTCCACATGGGCCCCTTCCTGCTATGACCAGTCATGGGGAGGATAATAGGAAAAAGGATGAGGCAAGAGCAACTTGGAACTTATTTCCGTTAAGTCTGTGTCCTTCAAGTGTCTCTAATGGACTGTGGGTACAGGGCCAGCTCAGTGGGCTATGAATCACTGCAAGATGGTTTAGGGAAGGAGTATGATGAAGGACTCAGAAGACATCACCTGAGGAAACACTGACCTATCGTGACTAGAACCCCATACCAACAGAGGACCCCAGCGGCTTGGGATTTAGATCATTAACATCCAGAAAAAGCCATGGCCAGCATCCTCACCTTTGCCAAGTACTGCCTGTATGCACAACTTGAAAATCCTGGGAGCTACCCACCACACTGAGTCATGCTGTGTTTTTCCTAGGCAGCACAGCTAATTCTAGGAAACAGGGAAGAACCCCCACTGCCCCAACCTTCTTTTGAACCAAGGCCTGGATAAAGGAGCCAAGGGATCAAGCCAATTCCCACAGCAGAAGACTGCACAGGGATCTTTAGAAATCAAAGCCATACCTGTGGCTCAGGTTGCTCAGGAACCCCCAGCTCGCTGCTGCCAGGCTCTGCAACTGTGCTGTACCCTGGAGAGCCAGGCTGCTCCAGGTCAGTGAGGTCCTCTTTGGAAGCAGTCTGGGAGGAGAACTCCAGACCACTGTCAGTAGAGGGGCTGACCACTGCTGAGGCAGTTTCTGAACTTGCAGAGGAGATGGGAGTGGGTACATCAATGAAGGGCATGCCACCTGCCAAATAAAGTAAGTAAAGCTTAAAGAAAAGAGACTCTGGGAAACACTTACCCTCCATGGCACCATTTGTTTGCTTGTTTTTCCCTAGACTGCATATGCTGGTCTCTAAAGTAGTCAGAGTTCCACTAGAAGGAGAACAACCTTAAGTCACTGCAGAATTGCTAAATGGTCACAGTTTTACCTGACCTGGAGTTTTTCCTTTTTGCTCTCTGCTGAAGGACCAAAGTGCTTCAGTTAGTTGGTCTTCACTGACACAATTCCTGAGAGAGGCAGGAGCTTTTCTTCTATCTATTCTAATCATAAAAAGCAGCTCAAGTTACTCACCACTGAGGTTAGAGGATAAGGTGGTTCCACTGGAGGTGGGCTGCTCTGAACTTGGTAAGACTTTGGTCATATGACGTGGGGCCCGGGGAGATCTCTTCTGTTTCTTCCACTTAGATGAATCACTCATGCCTCCTGCTCTCATTTTCAGCTGGAAATATTATACCTCATTAGCACTGATATTCAAATTAAGATTCTATCCCTAGAAATCTCCCTTCTTTAGTCCTACTGGTCCCTAGAAAATAGCCTATACATCACATCTGTATCAAAGTAACAATCGAGACCATCAGAGCACAGTCCTAGTCCTCTAGCTGGCCTTCTACATTTGCCACTTTAAAGGTCAGCCTGGGAGCCTCCAAGTGGAAGGTGACATTCTGTTTTTAGGCTGGTCATTGTTAAGGTCAATCCTCACACATCACTCTGCTTCCTTGAATCCCAGGTGGCCATCCTGAGCCCTGTAGATGGTACCCAACCCTTGTGCAGAAAGGGTAAGGGCAGGGGGTCCTTTGCCAGAAGCTTCAGATCTACAGGCCCTGGATCCCTGGGCTTTCCTCAACTACTTGCATAGCAGCCTTCGACTCCAAGTTCTTACCCAGGTATGAGAGCCTACTTCTTCCCAGCCAAATGCTTAGCTTTCCTATTACTTCATGAATTGGGCCTAGATCCTAACCACATCCCTCACTCTTGATTGTCTACATCAAATGGGTCAAAGGTTCATTCCTTGGAATTATGGAAGGAGTGGTATCCCAGCTGACTTGTGGAGTTAAGGATGAAAGGTCATGTCATGCTGCTGCTCTGGTACTCCCAATTTCAGTATATAAAGGAGCTCTCCTGTCCTTCTCACTGTTGGGTCTTTCTAGAAGCAACTTTATGCTTTCAGATGCTAAGACTACTGATTTCTTCGACTCTTGCTCTATTCCATTTCCCTCCCTCTTGCTGTATTTCTATCCCTCTTATAGCTTCCTTTTAGTCACAAGAGAAAACCTTTATCACCTGTTGACTACTTTAGGGTATAAATTTTCATGCATTTTTTTCCCCACCCTAAGTTCACAGCTACTTTGTTTAGGCCCAATTCATTTTCTTTATCCCGATGCCTTCTCAGTTATGGTTTAATCCAATCCCCCTTCAGTTATATCAAACTATTCCTAGACTGATGGACCATTCTTGGGATGGGCAATAGAAATTCTCTTCTAGGAACTATTAGCATGACTCTAAAGAGAGTAGAAACAATTTTTCTCTCTGCCTCTTTCTAAAGGCTGAATATACCCATGTTATCCTTGGCCTATTCAATTCCTTCTGCTATCTGAGGGATAGGCCCCCCTTTTTCCCCCAAACCCTCCAGAATCTGGCTAACCTTTGATGCTTTGCTTAGAAACCACATAATTTTTTCTTCCCTACCCTTATCTCCACCCATAAAGGAGAGAAGCCCAACAGATGAGCCCCACCTCCAGCTCTTAGTAACATAGCAACAGTCTAGCACTGGATTTACACTTTTTGTCCCTGCATCTCCAAAATGCCAGCAGTTATATGCCTAGAATAGAGCTTCAGGTCCTCTGAGTACTGGGGTTCCTGTGGTAAGCAGGAACCAGGATGCTCCCTCTGGGAACCACTGAAGCTCATCTGGGTCAAGTTCATGGCAAAAGAAAGTTCTGGAGGTAAGAGTCAGTCAAACATGCAGATAGGCCAGAAGTCCGAGAGATCAATGAGGGAAAACAGGAACCTCCTGGCTTAAGCTGGAAACTGTCACTGAGCTCCAAAAAACACTCACATCTGGGTTGACTTGTGTGAGATATCTTTTCTCTCCAGGTGGCTCCCCAATTTCAGGAATTCCAGGTAGTCCCACTTTCACTGAGAAGCCAGTCACTGAGATTCCTTCCCACACTAGGATCATATCCCTTCTCCATCCTCTGCAAATGCAGCTTTAACCTGATTATTTCAATGGGTGTTTTCTGCCTCTTGGCTGGAGTAAGAGTTGAAAGGCTGCCAGTTCTTACAAGTGTCTCAGTCCTTTAAAAGTATAGCTGTGCTCCCTGTTCTAAGGTGGGGTGAAACTCTTCATCACCTTTTCCGTATAATTCTACTTTCAACAGACAATATAAGCTTTATTAAAAAAAAAAAAAAGGGCAGGTCCCAGCTTATTAAACATGGCAAAACGCAGGGCAGCCACTGAAGAGAGCTGCAACTTGAGACTAGGCAAGCACACAAATGAAACTTTGAGACAAGGCATGCAGACAGAACACAGGCCTGTGGACTGTCAAGTGCACACACACAGAGTTCTTTTCATCTTCAACGACCTGAATGTCCACAACTACACCTCTAGCATGCACACTCTTGTGATAGCTTAGATAGCCCACACCGCCTTCTCTCCTTCTCCTTCCTAAAGCAGGGATATGGGGATTAGAGTAATCTTTAGCTTGCACCTCTTCTAAGTTCCCCTAGTTCTCAAGGACAGAGAGACCCCTGGCAGATCACAAAGTATTTCCAGTGTCCTGGGCTAACCTGGGACCTGGTTCCTTTTCATCCATCTAGAGTCCTAAATCTTAGAATGACTCCTTTAATGGTAACCAAGAAAAAAAAGACCTCAATCAGACAGACTCCCTTTCCCTCAAAACCAAGTTCAATTATCCAGCTAGAATCAAGGACTGTGCTTAAGCTTTCTAATGCCAGCTCTGAGACAGAGAGAGGGTAGAAAAGTGAAGGGTCTTGTTTGACAGTCCCTCCTAGTTCCCCTAGAAATGGTAGATATTAAGCCTCCTCACAAGATGTCAGCAGGACCCAGGCTCTCTATCTAGGCTCACTACACAATGTGTTACCAGTTCAAGGCTTCCTTCTGCCTCCAGGCAGCCAGATGCCCCATGAAAACTCCCAACACTGCAAAGTTACAAACACAAGCAGCTCTTCCAAAGCCGTGCTGTATTACTAGGGAGGGGTATATTGTGCTCTACACAGAGAACATGGGACCCAGATGTTACACATAAAAAATAAACATTTAAATAAATAAATTAAAACGGGGTAAGAAGAGGGAGAGGGAGAGAGACCTTGAGGTTCTTAAAGAGTAGTACCCTCTCTAACTGGTTCAGGGCTTTGGTCTGCTCCCCACTACTTAGCTCCAGTTTGTTGAGGAGACATGGAGAAATCTGTGAAAGACAGGCAAATGAACGATTTAAACAGAGTGAAATAAACTCAGACACAAGCCAACAGGATACAGGGCAGGAATGGGGATGGATGGCAGGGGAAATGGGAAGGTCAAGTTCATGCACCAAACAGCCAAGGGTCATCTTCAAGGGCAGAACCTCTTAGGACTGCAAGCAGAATCCTCATCAGAGACCTGTGAAGTCCAGGGCTTCAGTTTAAGATAGAAAGAGGCCATTCTCTGAACACCATTCTTCTCCTAGCAGTTTGAGAACCTTCTGATCTGGAGTCAGACTTGATTTATCTTGTCAGAGGCTAGCCCAAGCATGAGCCCAGTCTAATCCAGTATCAGGGGATTTTAGGTATAGCCTCTCTAGGCTTCCTACCAGCTGACAAGACTGGGCCCTGAGGGGATGGCTGGACTTTCACCTTTATCTGCATACATTTTTTGCCTGATGGGCCTCACCCAGTTTCCATGAAGGACTGGCTCACTAGCTTACATGGTGGGTCAACAAAGATAGGCTAGAAAGGAAAGGCTGGGGAAGGAGAGGTACTTGGGAAAGAGGTACCTGGAAAATTTCTTGGTAAAGGAGTGATAACTATTTCTAGATTCCAAGCAAACCTGTCTAGGCAAAAGCATACTTTTGCTAAGCAAGGGTATCCAGGAAAATCCCGATAGCACAGAAGCTGGGAGATTGAAGTTTGGGTGAAGGATAGCAGGTCATACCTTTTTCATGTTGGTCCCCATATAGTTCTTGGGTTCTTCTTTAAACTGAGGTAACCTGTAAGATAAGAAAATCCCATGGACTGTGATTAGGGATAATAACAAATATTCCCCTTCATGCCAGCCATAGCCCAGACAGCCCAGAGTCAGAGTCTCTTAGGAAAAGCTAGAAAAAGAAACAGGCTAATTTCACCCTTTTCAGAGCTTCATCGAAGGGCCACAGAAACTGAGGAACGTGGAACACAGACACATTCTAAAAAAGAAGGTAGTTGTCATGAGGGAAAGGTGACTAAGTACCCCTGGAGTGCAGAGGCTCTTTCCATCTTTAAACTGATGCTTTCCTGCTTGTATTCACCTGGAAGATATTGCTGAATGGCATAATATGGGGAGAGAGTAGTCTATTAAAACCCCAGGAGACTGGGCATAGGCTCAGAAGTGAAAGGCAGATGAAGTTTTGAAACCAGTAAATTTGAACCTGAGAAGTAGGAAACAATTAACAATTAACAGCTGGGTCCAGAGGCAAATCTAGTCTGTGGGTAATAAGGATTATTATTTATAGATTTGAGAGCAAAAATAAATCCCAGGGGGAAGTGTGTGTTGTGTGCGTGCGTGCGTGTGTGTGTTTTAATAGACTATTTAAAAAAGCAATCTTAGTTTCACAGTACACTGATTTCCCATCTAACCCTTACTCCCCTACAAGCATAACCTCCTCCATCATCAATATCCCTTAGGGGAAGCTGTAAAGCGCTCGCCTCAGGGCTAAGTTGAGGGCCTTGATGAGGGTAACCAACGGTTTTGGATTGCAGGGATGCAGGACTTCCAGTGACTGGGACAGTTAGGCAAACCAGGATTGTTGGTTACCCTAGCCTTGGTCCTTCCTCACAGAAACTGGACTGAATTCTGGGAGCTCAGCAACCTGCCCCAGGCTCCCTTCAGTTTAGCTTCCTCTCTGGGTTTCCTTTCCCAGCTGCTACCTGCACAGAAGCTGACACAAGTTTGGGAAGAAGTTCTGTCAGCCTAGATCAAATAACCCTCTGACTCCCTCTGAGACCAAGCCAGCTCCCTCCTCCTTCTCCCTTGCATGGTAACCCTGGGCCCAGAGAACTACTCCCATCCACAATCTCAGTAGCCTCTGATGTGGCTGTGGGCTTGGCCAGGTCCCTGAAGTGGCTGTGTGGAAGCAGGCAGGCTCAAGAGGCCTGGGCAGCCGGGCTGAAGCAAACAGCAGCAGGTTTACCTTGTGAAGAGCAGCTGCACCATGTCTACGAGAGTGTGCTCTGCGGATTTTCTCAATAACTCTGCACAGGCAAAAACAAATAACACAGGTGTCATTACTTGCCGTGCTATTATCAGGAGGCTTCTCAGAGCAGACTCCCCTCCAAACCTTGTTTACTAAGGATTATACCAAACTTATTAAAACCAGCTCCAGCTTAGCTTGGCAGCCATAATTTCACTGACCCACTAGATGGCACTACTGAGTCAGGAAAAAAAGGCACAAGAACATGTTCTCAGGGGTTGCAGGCTGGTGTCAATCCCAGAAACCTCAAGGGAAGGAGATGTGGTTGTGGGCTCAGTAAGTCTACGGATCTAGCCCAATTCCTGCCCTGGCACAAAGAGTTAAGGTCTCTTCTAGCCCCACAACAAACTGTCAAGTACAGAGACTTCAAGATCCCTATGGCTCCACAAGGTAGGTGATGGAGAAGTCATGAGTTTTCTATCTCTCTGGGGTTCAGAGACAGCATCCTATATTCATACTCACAGATACTGCCCCTAGGAATGATGAAGGGCCCAGTATTCAAGCACCTACCACTGAGCCTCATTTCAAAGCAGATCCGGAAGCAAGACTGCATAATCTCACACACAGATTCATTGGTTAGGTGGGCACCTACTGGGGTCAGCAACAGAGTCCGCAGTACCTACCAGAAAGAAAAAGGAGACACTATGATAAACAAGGCAGGCTGGGTGAAGAAGGGTGTACATGAGCAGGGAGAAAGTGCCTCCTGTTTCTCTAGTCTCCTATGGAAGCACTCAGGGGTGAGAAAGAGGTTAGCAAGAAAGCTTACCTTGCTTCGGCTTGGTGCTGGTGGTCAAGTCTCCCAGGAGCTTATCTTAGGAGCTGTGTCTTTATGTTATTTGGCCCCGACATAGTGCAGCACTCATTTCTGCCCTAGCCCACAAACCCAATGGATGGATGGCACAGATATAGTCTGCCAGAGGTCCAAGTGTATTCAGGGTTCCGGTTATTTGATATCAATATCAAATTTAAAGCTTTTTATTATTTTCCTTAGAAAAAGCTTTTACTTTGGGTATGGAGCAGCTTGTTTGGAAACAAAGTAGCTCTCTAAGCCTCAATGGAGTCAAAACACAGCTTCACATTGCTGGCAGGCTCTGGTAAGTAGAGTCGGAGGCACCATATCCTGGCCATTAGCCTAACTGCTGTCCCCCTCCATTTACCTGAAGGATTTTCATCAGGACAACCTCATCGCTGGCAGGATCTGTGCCCACAAAACGGGCATGGGTGACAGCATCTGCCATGTTCTCCATGCCCTCTGCTGTGCCCTCATGGGTGGGATCTGCTCCAGCAAAGAAAAAAAAAGAAAGGATATGAAGAGGAGAGACAAAAAGTCAAGACGTCCTGTGTAGGGTCTATTTTGAAAGACTTTAGTTTTCTCCTCTTCAATTCTCTAACCCATGGCTCCTTGAATTACCTGAGAGTTTTTGCCCATAATTGGCTGATATATGTTGTGCCCATCTCAGCACAAATGCTACTATGTAAAAGTGGTTCTCAATCATATATAGAATCATCTGGAGGGCTTGTAAAAAATAAAAATTGCTGGCCCACACCCCAAATTTTTGATTTAGTAGGTCTAGCATCGGGCCTGAGAATCTGCATTTCTAACAAGATTCCGGGTAAAGTTAATGCTGTTGCTCAGGGGACCACACTTGGGAATCACTGCTGTAAAGCTACTCACTCGACAGAGGAAGGACCTGGAAATTTGAGGTTTTGGCCCAGAGCAAGTGCCTGGGAGGGCCAGAGCTTTGAATACCAAGGTTGTAGCCTTTCTCTTTTCATGTGTTCTCTTTCAACACATATCTCTATCTGACTGCTTTTGGAATGCAGTAGTCAGGTGCAACTGAGGTAGGGGAGTAGAGGTAAAAAATGAACAGTCACTGCTGCCAATACACAGATCTGGGTGCCCATTAGAGCAAATCAGAGAGCACTTCCTGCTTATTAAAAACAGTATGTCATGGACAAGAATCCTTAACTAAAGATTAAGGAGTGATAGGGGACAAACTGGAGGACTGGAGGCTAGCTAACTGGGAAGTAGGAGGGAGGAAGACCTTAAACTGTGAATAAGAGGGGAGATGCCAGCTCTGACAACCAGCACTGGGGTAGAAGCTAACACAAATGTTACCAAGGAGGAAACTGCTCCCGTTTATGATTTAAATATCCATAAGGAGTAGACAAAGAAGTGACCTCCATCAAGGCTTACAAGGGTCCTCCAGAACAGCCTGGATTGTTCTTGGGGGGGCACAAGTAGGAAAAAAAAAGATGGGAATATAACAAAAACTTTGTGAGTGACAGAGAAAAATGCTCTAGAGGTGACATGGTGTAAGGTAAGAAAACCTCCTAGTTTTTAAGTGTAGGAATTAGAAGAAATTCTCACCATTCTCTTTCCTTGTACCTGAAAATAATGGAGTTCCTGAATTTGAAGCTCCGGGGATGGCTGAGAAACAAGAACATTTCTCTTGCAACAATGAACCAGAACACTTTCATCAACTGTGAGTGGTTTTCATTTTTCTCTTCTGTCCTGGTTAGTCTCTGATACCTGGTCAAAGACTCTCATTGCCCTATTTACTTCATGCCTCTACTCAGCATCATGAATGGCTACTTTAGAGGTCATGCAGAAGGAAGCCAATTTCATGGTAGTAGAGGAAGTGACCCAGCTCCTTCTATTACCCAACCCTCCATGTTTCTCCCAATCAATACAGAAAATCCTATACTTTCAAGGCAGTTGCCTGAGTCCTCTCGCACAGCCCTGCTGGACAGAGTCCACAGAAGGACCTTCCTTACTCAGAAAATCCAGGGCCTTTGTGTTGCTGTGTGGGTGTTTCAGAGCTCCTAGTGAATGGCAGCCTTGCTCTCACCTCACAAACTTCTGGGGGTTTATTTCTTCCCCTCTTTTGGTAACCTCCCTAGTTAAAGTGGTTTAAGCTCTATTGATCTTTTTGTAGCTCTTATCCTCTGAGCTTGAATGAAGTAGCAAACTTAATTTTCTAAAAAGTCTAGAACAAAAAAAAAATTTTTTTTTAAATAAATAAAAAGGCAAGTACAAGTGACAGGTCCTTAGAACCACAGGCAGAGCCTCACAAGTCAGGCAATCAGAAGCACAAATCCTGATCTGGCAGCTGTGTGAGGCCAAATAAAAGGCTGGTCTTTGGAGTAGGATCTAAAATAATCCTAGAAGCCTTTATCACAGGCTTGAGAGATGGAGGGCAGTTCCTTTAAGAAGGGCAGCCTAAACAAAAGACTGGCTCATTTAACAGACCTTATCTTCCTCAGGACCCCTTCTCTAGAACCCCCTCCTTTCCTGGCTACCCTGGAGAAGACCGCAGGGAAATCTGCCAGTCTCATCTCCTCTGCCTTCTGGATTTCAGACACTGCTTCCTGTTCCTTTTCTCATGCCCACTGCAATCACCACCTCCAGCATTCTCTTTTCCCACCACAGGAAACTCCAGTGACCAGCTGGCCTGAGGTCTCCAATGACCAGCTTGTCTGCCAAGCCAAGAAAGGAGAGAGAGTAACGCTGACAAAAGAGCAGAGAGAAAAGGCAGAGGGCAGCTCCTGGAGGCCATGAAGAGAGATGACCTGCAGGTGGTGCTCAGGGCAAGGCTCTAGGTAGCTAGGCCTGCTTTTTGCTTAGGATAAGCATGAAGCTACGACCAGGGTGCCTGGAGAAGTTGATGCCCCTATTCAGAACCTAGCTGGCACCAGCATATTTGCTCCCAATCCTGAATACTTCAACTAAACAAATCCAATTTTCTAGAAAAGATAAAGGGTTTTCTCGCCTTGAACTGAAGGTCATTTTCCTTTCTTGCTAGCTACCTGAGCTTCCACTTTTCCTGTCTCCCTACTTAGGAACAAGGACAGCTGCCTGTGTTCTATGTTCCTCACCACTACACATGGGCAGACAATATGAGAAAAAGAATTCAGGATTTTGAGTGACAAAATCAACTAAAAAGAAATAAAAAAAAATACACCATAAACAAATTCAGAGATAAACAATAGACTGGATAAAATATTTGAACTAGATTGAGAGAAATTTGTAACACTATGATAGACAATGGGTTAATATCCTCACTATACAAAGAACTCCTACAAACTGATAAGAAAAACAAAGACAATTCAATAAAGGAGAAGACATTCAAATTTCAAGTACAGGAAATCTGTCATACAAAAGGAAATTTTATAATAAAGCTATGTAAACAAGGAAGCTTATTTTAGCATTATTGATAATGGCTCAAAATAAGAAACAATTTGAGCTTCCCTGGTGGGCGAGTAGTTAAGAATTGTCTGTCAATGCAGGGGAAATGAATTTGATCCCTGGTCTGGGAAGATTCCACATGCCCCTGAGCAACTAAGCCTGTGTGCCACAACTACTGAGCCAGCGTGCCCAAGTGTCTAGAGCTTCTGCTCCCCAACAAGAGAAGCTATCACAATGAGAAGCTGGTGCACCACAACGGAGTAACCTGGGCTCACCACAACTAGAGAAAGCCCACATGCAGCAAGGAAGACCCAGCACAGCCAAAAATAAATAAATCTTTTCTAAAAAAAAAAACCAGAAACAACCTAAATATTAAATATTGTCCAATAAGAGAATGATTTGAGTGAACTGTGTTATATCTATACTATAGAAATTATACAGCTACCAAAAAGAAAAAAATCTTACCAGGGACTAAGGGGCAGGGGAAATGATGTATTACTGCTTAATGGTTAGAATTTCTTGTCTGGTATGATGAAAAAGTTTGAGAAACAGATGGTGGGGATGGCTGTACAACATTGTGAATGTAGTTAACACCAGTGAATTATATACTTTAAAATGGCAAATTTTATATTATGTATATTTTATTACAATAAAAAACCAATGTACAAACTTCCAGTTATAAGATTAATAAGTTCTGGGGATGTAGTGTACAGCATGATGACTGTAGTTAACAATGCTGTATTGTATGTTTGAAAGCTGCTGAGACAACAGATCTTAAAAGTTCTCATCACACACAAAAAAATGTTACTATGTGAGGTGATGGACTTAAAGTATGGTAATCATTTTGCAACATATGCATATATCAAGTCATTATACTGTCCATCTTAAACTAATACAATGTTATATGTCAATTATATCAATAAAATCGGAGGGAAAAGAATAAACCAGATAATTATATTATGTACACTGTTTTAATACTATTAAATGAGAAAAAAATTTAGCACATAATTCTATTTTTATTTCTTTTTAAAAAGAAGTAGAACTTTATATATATTTATATACATGTTTGGAAAGGTATAGAAAGATTTAAACCTTCCTGTTAACATCATTTACCTAAAGAAGGATGAGGAACATTGACAGAGACCATTAACTTTTCTTGTAGTCACCTGTTTATTATTTATCTTCTTAAAATAATCATACATTATACTTGAAAAATAAAGATAAACTAAAATCAAACCTCCAAGGGCATCATATCCTTAACTGCCTTCAAAGCACAAAGAAATCAGTAGTCCCAAGGAAACCTCCTCTCACTCCCCACTCTACAACCTCAATCAGTGTGATGAGTAACTAAAAAACAATCCTATTTCTTTCCTACAAGGGAACAGATAGCTGGGGAAAACTTTCCAGCATCACCAGCTCATTGCCTAAAGCCTGACCACCCTGGGAAAGGCAAAGAACTGAAAGAGTGTGGTCACTCAAAAGAGCCCAAGTGCTTACCTATGAGCGCATAGGATAGGAACTTGTTGACAGAGGTGAGTGCAAGTCCAGTTATAGGGCCAGTGGTATCTTCAGAGCGAATTACTTCCAGAAATGGACGAAGGAACACATTGGGCTCAATTTCTGAGAGTACTGTAAGAAAAGAAATGAGCATGAGGAGGTGCCATCTTACAAGAAACTAAACATAGAAAAAGGCCATTTTGTCTGTGCTGTGAGGCAAAGTTCTTAGTTGCTGGGACCATCATCCTCCTTCTGGATTATCTTGAATCAAACTCCAGATGCTATGTTGTTTTATCTGTAAAATTTTTAGTTTGTAGCTCTAAAAGATTAAAAAGCTTAAAAAAAAACCCAAACCCCCATAGTATCATTACCATGTTTAAAAATTAACAATAAAATGGTTAAGACGGTAAATTTTATGTTCTTAATATACATATACACACACATATTTTAAACCACAGTTTAAAAATTAACAGTAATTCTTTAATATCATCAATACAGCTGGGTCAATTTTCCATGTCCATTTCACCACCCTCCCTAGGGATACACAGGTAAACCTCATCTTGAGTACAGCCAACATGGCCAAAGAGATCTCAGGATGAGCTGCTGTCCTCAGGTCTTTTGTAGTTATAATCAAGGTCACTTCTCTCAGAGATAAAGAATGCAGCACATCCCAGGAAGTTGAGGGGGAAACTTGTGGTTTATAGTCCCTTGCTGAAAAATAATTTTAAAAAGAACAAAAGGCTGTGTTGGAGGCAGTTTATATCTATGGCCAACCTAGACAGCATATTAAAAAGCAGGACATTACTTTACCAACAAAGGTCTGTCTAGACTAAGCTATGGTTTTTCCAGTAGTCATGTACAGATATTAGAGTTGGACCATAAAGAAAGCTGAGCACCAAAAAATTGATGCTTTTGAACTGTAGTGCTGGAGAAGACTCTTGACAGTCCCTTAGACTGCAAGGAGATCAAACCAGTCAATCTTAAAGGAAATCAGTCTTTAATATTCATTGGAAGGAGTGATGCTGAGGCTGAAACTTCAATACTTTGGCCGCCTGATACGAAGAATTGACTCATTGGAAAAGACCCTGATGCTGGAAAAGACTGAAGGCAGGAGGAGAAGGGGACAAAAGAGGATGAGATGGTTGGATGGCATCACCAATTTGATGGATATGAGTTTGAGCAAGTTCCGGGAGTTGGTAATGGACAAGAAGTCTGGAGTGCTGCAGTACACGGGGTCACAAAGAGTCAGACACCACTGAGTTACTGAACTGGACCAAAAGGTCCTAATCACTCTCCAACCTTCTTTCAGTCTACAGTAAGCAGAGGGCTAACTACCTTGAGATGATGAGGCGATTCATGACCTTTATTTTACAGATGAAAAAAATAAGGCTCAGACCAGACAAGACTGACCTCAAATCACACAGATAGTAAGAAGTAGAGCTGGAATTTGAACCCATACATATGGTTCTAAAACCTACAAAAACATTACATCTATTCTATTTAATTATCAGCACAAACTCCTGAATTTAGGCTTCATTCCAGGTCTAAGAAGCTACACTATACTGGACTTGCTCAGTATATAAATCCCTACTATGCCTGGGGTTTAATTTTTGTCTTTCTATGGTGCTATCATATGTCAGACACTAGCTTCCTAAAAGGATTCCTAAACAGGCTAGAAAGACTTAGGGACTGGATAAGGGCTGCCCCACCTTTAGAGACAAAAGGAAGCTGGGTTTCCTAAGCACCTCCATTTTCATGCAAATACAGGGAGGCTTCCCACTCAATTCCTACCACGCCCCTCTCTGGGTAAACATTCTCTGGCCCGGCTGCTCCTCAGATTAATGCTTTAATTAATTGGCAGATTGGGTAGCATTTTCCAAGCTTGTCTGTATAGTGATCACATCAGCTGTATAAAACCTGCTTCTCATCCCCCGCTACCCCCACCAAGAGATGTACAATCTGCAGAAAAAGCCTAGAGAAAAACCTTTGTGTGTGTGTGTATGTAAGATGGTAAAGGGTTGAGATGTAAGGAATAGAAATATTTTGGAAAACTTGAAATATATAAAATACCTTTAAAAAGCAGACTGAGAAAATTAAAGTCATCTAGTCCTGCTGCCTTAGGAACACAACTCTATTACATACAACTTGGTTTGTCATAAAAAAAAAATAGGTTGGGAATATCTGAGACATGAAACTGTTAAATGGAAAAATGTCTTTTGAGACGTAGGATAGGGAACAGATTTTTCTGAACACTCACCCAGTTGCTATACCTATATTTGCTTTGTAGTCAAAGACGTGCGCAATTTTACAACCAGCATTTGACACTTTCAGGGCCAAGTACACTCTGCTTCTTTTTGTTTGTTTTTAAATTTTTTTAATTTGTTAAAACTGACTCTTTGAGTCCTATAAATTTTAACACACACATAGGGTGTGGGCTCCCAAAGCCAAATGACTTAATGTACCAAAGAGGAGTTTCTCTACTGCTCTCAGTAGGCTTGAAATTGATGGAAGTGTGATCTGTCTCTGCAGGGCTGCTTCAACTGAAGGTTTTGAAAGAACAAGTTCCAGTAACAAATTTTTTCTAATATTGGTTAGAAGAGCCCAGGGAGAGAAGAAATAGGTTTCCCCTATGCCAGTCTAGACTTTCCACAGAGGAAAGGGCTTTTCTGAATTCAGGTCCACGTTCATAGATGGCCATTCCCTTAAACCTAATCTCAGTGTCTTCAGACCTCAGTCTTAGAAGGCAGGGCCTGATATTCAGCTGCATCATGTGGATGCCATTCTTGGTGTGAACTAGGCTGAGATTTGTATATTAAGATTCTTTCGGTACTTAAAAAAAATGTTTTTAAATTTTAATTATCATATGGTAAAATTGACTTTTTTAGTATACAGATCTATGAGTTTTTACATACACATAGATCCCTGTAAGCACTGTGTCAGTTGGAATACAGAACAGTCTCATCACCCCAGAAAACTCCCTCGGTTATTCCTGTGTGATCACACCCTCCCCCCATCCCAACTCCCGTGAACCACTGATCTATTCTCTCACCACAGTTTCACCAAAGAGGTCATATAAATGGAATCCTACAGTATGTAACCTTTTCAGGTTGATTTGTCTAAACTGCTGCCTAACTCAATAGTCTGTTCCCTTTTTACTGCCAAGTAGTATTCCATTGCATGTTTCTACCACAATTTGCTTATCCATTCACTAGCTGAACGACATTGGGCTTCTCCATTTTGGGACAATCATGCACAGAGCCGCTATAAACATTTGGGTACAGGTTTTTGTGCAAAGAACATTGGTTTTCATCTGTCTGGGATAAATATCCAGGAGTAGGATTTCTGGGTGAAAGAATAAGTGTATGTTTGGTTTTATAAGAAACTGCCAAACTGTTTTTCCAGAGTCCTGTACCATTTTGCATTCCCACTAGCAATGAAGACTGTGATTTCTCCACAGCCTCTCTAGTGCTTGGTATTTTCAGTACTTTTATTAAGTCATTCTAGTAAGTAAGCAGTGGTATCTCAATGTGGGTTAAATTTGCCTTGCCCTAATGGCCAGTGACATCAAACACCATTTGGTGATCTGTCTGTCCAAGTCTTTTGCCCATTTTTTGATGGAGTTGTTTTCTTACTGTTGAGTTTACAGACTTAAACAAGTGCCTACTCTGGATTCAAATTCAGACGTAAATTGAAGAAAGTAGGGAAAACCACTAGGCCATTCAGGTATGACTTAAATCAAATCCCTAACGATTATACAGTGGAAGTGAGAAATAGATTTAAGGGACTAGATCTGATAGACAGAGTGCCTGATGAACTATGGATGGACGTTCGTGACACTGTACAGGAGACAGGGAGAAAGACCATCCCCAAGAAAAACAAATTCAAAAAAGCAAAATGGCTGTCTGAGGAGGCCTTACAAATAGCTGTGAAAAGAAGAGACGCAAAAAACAAAGGAGAAAAGGAAAGATATACCCATTTGAAAGCAGAGTTCCAAAGAATAGCAAGGAGAGATAAGAAAGCCTTCCTCAGTGATCAGTGCTAAGAAATAGAAGAAAACAATAGAATGGGAAAGACTAGAGATCTCTTCAAGAAAATTAGAGATACCAAGGGAACATTTCATACAAAGATGGGCTCAATAAAGGACAAAAATGGTATGGATCTAACAGAAGCAGAAGCTATTAAGAAGAGGTGGCAAGAATACACAGAATAACTGTACAAAAAACATCTTCACGACCCAGATAATGATGATGGTGTGATCACTCACCTAGAGCCAGACATCCTGGAATGTGAAGTCAAGTGGGCCTTAGGAAGCATCACTATGAACAAAGCTAGTGGAGGTGACAGAATTCCAGTTGAGCTATTTCAAATCCTAAAAGATGATGCTGTGAAAGTGTTGTACTCAACAGGCCAGCAAATTTGGAAAACTCAGCAGTGGCCACGGGACTGGAAAAGGTCAGTTTTCATTCCAATCCCAAAGAAAGGCAATGCCAAAGAATGCTCAAATTACCCCACAATTGCACTCATCTCACACGCTAGTAAAGTAATGCTCAAAATTCTCCAGGCCAGGCTTCAACAATACGTGAACCACGAACTGCCAGATGTTCAAGCTGGTTTTAGAAAAGGCAGAGGAACCAGAGATCAAATTGCCAACATTTGCTGGATCACTGAAAAAGCAGGAGAGTTCCAGAAAAACATCTATTTCTGCTTTATTGACTATGTCAAAGCCTTCGACTGTGTGGATCACAATAAATGGTGGAAAATTCTGAAAGAGATGGGAATACCAGACCACCTGACCTGCCTCTTGAGAAATCTGTATGCAGGTCAGGAAGCAACAGTTAGAACTGGACATGGAACAACAGACTGGTTCCAAATAGGAAAAGGAATACGTCAAGGCTGTATATTGTCACCCTGCTTATTTAACTTATATGCAGAGTACATCATGAGAAACGCTGGGCTGGATGAAGCACAAGCTGGAATCAAGATTGCCGGGAGAAATATCAATAACTTCAGATATGCAGATGACACCACCCTTATGGCAGAAAATGAAGAAGAACGAAAGAGCCTCTTGATGAAAGTGAAAGCTGCTGCTGCTGCTGCTGCTAAGTTGCTTCAATCGAGTCCGACTCTGTGTG